CGCTCCAGCCAAGTCTAGTCCCGTCCCGTTCCAGCCAAGTCTTCACGTTCCAGCCAAGTCTAGTCCCGTCCCGTTCCAGCCAAGTCTTCACGTTCCAGCCAAGTCTAGTCCCGTCCCGTTCCAGCCAAGTCTTCACGTTCCAGCCAAGTCTAGTCCCGTTCCAGCCAAGTCTAGTCCCGTCCCATTTCTGTCCAGTCTTCACGTTACAGCCAAGTCTAGTCCCGTCCCGTTTCTGTCCAGTCTTCACGTTCCAGCCAAGTCTAGTCCCGTCCCGTTTCTGTCCAGTCTTCACGTTCCAGCCAAGTCAAGTCCCGTTCCAGCCAAGTCTAGTCCCGTCCTGTTTCTGTCCAGTCTCGTTCCTGTCCAGTCTTCGAGTCCCTGTCTCCTGTTTCGTGTGGCCTTATGGGCGTCTGGTATCCGCCCTTAAGGGGGGGTACTGTCACGATCTGCCCCTGCCCGCCTGACTGTGTTCCTCTCCTGCCATGATTACCCGTATTGTTCTCACCTGTCCCTCGTTTACCTGCCCATGTTTCCCTAATTAGTCCTCTGTATTTAAACCACCTGTTTTGCCCCTGTCCTTTGTCAGTTCATTGTTGTTTGTTGGTGTTCCTGTTCATCCCATCCTGCCATTAAACCATTTTTACTTTTACTGAAGCCTGCATTTTTTTCCTCCTGCTCAGCTCATCCACACATGGTCCGCCGTCTCCACCTCCTACACCGTGACACACAGGGTAATTCCACTTTTGATCAACAGTATACAAACCCACAGTGATACTATATCAATATCATGATATTCTGATGTTGCCTTCCAAAATAAAGTTCTTTTAAAATTGCCCATATACGACCTAATTTTCAGTGATTTCAAAATGCTCTAAAATGGAAAATTGCTGTTTCAACAGGGTAATTCCACTTTAGATCAACAGTATACAACTCCACAGTGATACTAATATCAAGTCATTCTGATGTTGCGTTTCAAAATGCCTTTGAAGCGCATTCTGAAGTCATTGAAAGAGTAGTTCAAAAATGAAAATTCACAGGGCTTTTACTTTGAAATCCAAAATAAGATTGCCTTGATATTGACAGGGTGCTAATAGTGAACAAGCCTAAATTATTTGTTATGTTCTTAAAATATCTGATAATTCACTCGAAGTTGAATTTTATTTTGAAATCCGGTTTCCACATCCATTCCCGTAATAACTTGAATAGACGGGGAACAGAAAACAAACTGGAGGCTGGCTTGACTGCAAGTCTCCAACTTGAGGCTGGCTTGACACCAGTCATCTCTTCTCTGGAGAGGGAAAAAATTACCAGTGGGGGGTAGGTTTAATTAAAAGATAAAATGTGAGTGATCATTATAATGATCCCTAATTAGGGAAGAAGATCAATGAAGGTTAAAAAGAAACTGCATCAGCTCTAATCTGATGAATAAATTCACTAAATTACAAGATAAGCTATAAAATGAGTTTCATAAACACTAGTTGTGTAGAGAAGCGTCTTGCAGGAAGCAAAAGGCTGAACACATGGAAATAAACAAAGCACGCAGCTTCTTTTTGGCAGCAATCCTGGGTAGTTCTAATATTTATTCTGCAATTTCAAATAAATGAGCCGCGTTTTTCTCCACCTCTCAACTTTCTAACCCCACTAACGTGTTTCCAGTGTTTCACTAAACAAGAAAATGAGACCGGAAAGCGGAAACCCTTCAAATTGTTGCTAATTTGGTAGGTAATGCTTTTATAATTTATTTTTTCCAGTTGGTACATAAAAAGATGAGTGCGCCTACCATCACCAGCCTGCCAGCCGCAGTATCCTGGCCATGGGAACGGGAACAACCAGTGATGGGTCCAGCACATCCAGCAACACCGACACACCGGCGCATGTGTCAAGCTCATGGAGCGAAACCTGTGTCGATGCGTGTGTTGCTTTGAGAAAAAGTCACGTGACCGACACTGCTGCTGTGCCGCTCATTGCCAAGGTGCCAAACAGTGTTTATAAGGCATCGACTCTGCATCTGTCAACGAGATGAGTCGCCGTGAAAAAAATTACAATTTCAAAGGTAAAACAAGACATCCCTCTCTACATCAACAAAATTGAGCCAGAGAGAAAAAGAAAAGTTTCTGCTGTGTGGGATCATTTTGATCTTTTAACTTGCTAATAAGGTGTTTGTCTTTCCCTGTTTCTGCGCATCTGTCAGAGTTGAAAACAGCATGTGACTAGTGTAAATTCTTTGTTTAATTTTATTTAGGTTAAATGTCGCATCTGCTCAGCGGAGTTGTCAGAGCACATCCTCAATGCTGAGACATTAGCGTCAAGCATGAAAATGAAGAGGAAGCAAATACACCAAGAACGGACACAGGTAGACCTATATAGACACTGGGCGTGCTTTCTCACAACTGTTTTACTAATATATGTTTTATTATTTTGAAATAAAGAATCTAGGAAGATTGCTCTGGACCAAGCAGTCCTGCTGCCAACCCCTGAGCATTGTGGAGAGTGAGGGGTTCAGGGGGTTGATTCTGGTCCTTGATCCATCTTACGCTTTGCCAACCAGAAAGGTTTGTATGCACATGTTACTCATGTAATATATACAGTGCTTAACAAATGTATTAGACCATCATCTGATTTAAGGTTTATGCAGCAAACAAAAATAAACACTTGTGATTCAAACATCATGCATGCTTGAATAATTTCCGTCCGGTGTCTTTCAGCTCACATTTGGGTATAAAACTGGATTCAGTTTTAAATTCCTACCTTCTATTCAACAGGGCAAAACACAGAGAACTTCATAGCTGGATGTTTTTCTTGCTTTAATGACAGGTGGTCTAATTAATGTGTTAAGTACTAGACTGATTTGATTTTGATTCATTTTCAGACGGTTAAGGAAATGATGGCCAAAAAGCATGCGGAGGAACTCGAACAAGTAAAAAGCGAAGTACAGCAAGCTGTGGCAGTGAGTATAACAGCTGACATGTGGACCTCCTTGAACATGGAGGCTTAGCTCTTACCTGTCACTACATCAATGATAATATGCAGTTGTGTACATCTGTGTTGGGAGTCAAACACTTTCCACAAAGTCACACTGCTGACAATCTGGCCCAAGTCAAAAGGGGCATGATGGATGACTGGGCCATAACAAATAAGGTAAGGTGTCTTGTGACCGACGCAGCACCAAACATGATAGCAGCAACACGAACTCTTCAAATTCGACATTCAATCTGCATTTTGCACACAAACTAAATTTAATAGTCAAAAAATCCTGTGATCAGATCCCTGAACTTTCATCCATAAGACACAAATCTAGGCAAATCGTATCATTCTTCAGATCCAGCACCACAGCAAAAGAGAAGCTTGCTCAAGTGCAGCAACAGATGGGCCGGTCCACCTTGAAACTTGTCACTGAGGTACCAACACGTTGGAACAGCACATATCAGATGCTGTCATGGCTACATGATGAGAAAGAACCAGTGTGGGTGTCTCTTGCCTCTCTCCAAACAGATTTAACTCCACTCACCGCTGATGAGCTCAACATCTTAAGGGAAGCACTTCTTGTGCTGGCCCCTTTCCATCAGGCCACAGTGGAGTTGTCCGAGGAGAGGAGAGTTTCAGGATCAAAGGTCATCCCGATGATGAAAATGCTAAATTGTGCACTTGAGCAGAACTCTTTACATCTACACACACAAGCAGCCACACATCTCCATGACCAGCTTAGACGTCGCGTCACAGACAGCTTCTAATCTGGAGTCATTAAGTGTGTTGACCCTATCAACACTTTTAGACCCCAGATTTAAAACACTCGGATTTCGTAGTTCCTCCAAGTGTAGTGAGGCTGTCAATCGCCTGAAAATGGATTGTGCTGCAGCCACAGCCGAGCCTGGACCTTCATCAGAGCAGTTACCCACTTAAGGCAAGTTGTTCAGTATTATCAGCTTATTTTCACATTTGTTTTGTTGCTAATGTGTATTAATACAGAGTAGAAGACAAAAACTAAAACTTATGTATTTTTTATTATTTCAGATAATCTGTGGCAGCAGCTTGATCAAAAGGTTGGCAGACAAACCCACCAATGCAACAGCTGACTCGATCATTGAGGTCCAGCGCTACTTAGCAGAGGGAAACATTTCAAGACAAGAAAATCCATTAACATACCGGAAGACATCCTACCCACACCGTTTCCACCTGGCTTTACAGTTTTTGTGTACCCCAGCTTCTTCTGTGCCTTGTGAACGTGTGTTTTCAAAAGCTGGTGAAGTAGTCTCCAAAAAACCCAATAGACTAAATGCCAAAACATTGGATAAACTTATTTTTCTGAATAAAAATTTATAAATAAAAAAATAAAAACTTTTGAGTCAATGACACTGAAATGGGTAATATCACATTCACAACCCTGTCACTTTAATTGTCACTTGGTATCATTCACAGAATATTTTGAGATGTATATATTTTAAATGTTGAAGTTTAAAATAATACCATATGAAGTAGGCCTACAATAGCTTACAGTGTATACAAGGATGATTAGGTCATTGAATCAGTGTCTGTTGTGTCTCCAGTATGTTGCCTGCAGTGATGTTTAAAGTCCAGTAGGTGTCACTATAGAGCAAAACAGCAGCACTGTGTCGACACAGTACCAATACTATTTGGGGAATGTGCTGAAACGCTTCATGCGATGGCTTCATGAGGCTTCATCTACCCATCACTAGGAACAACCCTTCCACACTTCCTAGTCAGACGGCGGAATCCACTTGTATCAAATGACAGTTCGGATCTGATCTGAACCTTTCTACAGTCTGAACCGGTCTGAACACGGAACTCAGAGCGCGCTGTGATTGGCTCACGGCCTACCTGGGGGGAGGGTAACTCGTTTCAAACGTTTTCTTGAAAAAAAAAAACATTTAAAAATAAATATCCTGCGTCAAAGCACAGAATTGTAGTGGAAAACGACTTAAATACATAAAAAATTTTGAGGGAAATGTTCTACGAGACGTTTAAAAGGTCACGTGATCCGGCGGCGCCACACATTGGACTAATGAATTCCAAGTGGAACATGGAGGAATGAGGTGTGTTCATCTGACACGGTGAGTAAAAATTATGGAAAGGAGGCGCAGGGGTTGACGTTGTGTGTTTGTATGCGCTACAAAAACAAGTAGCTGTAGGCTATGAGTGTGCGATGCGAGCGCGCTCGGGAGATCAAGCCAAAAGTTCACTTTCAGTCAATTCACTCGGTACAATGAAGGAATGGGACATCACGCCCGGGTGTGGCCTGACTGAAGACACGTCTAATCAGGCACGTAAAGGCAAGAGCATGATGGGTCGTGGCCCTGCCCTCCACCTACAAGCCCCGGCGTCCCCGGCATGGCGTTTTTCTCTTCACCTATAACACAAAGAAACTTGTTAGCTATGCTATAGAAAAGTTAGCTTGCTTGCTGGTGTTGATTCTGCTGCCTTCCAGTAAGCGTTCGCTTACAGAGCACTACCTTTTCATGGCTCTTTAAGCTTTCTGCTTCATGCTCTTTCGCTTCTTCCCTGTGTCTCGCCATGAGCGCCGTGTTGGACTCTACGCTAGGCGAAAGTCTGCTTCTCGTCCCTGTCCTCAGGGCTGTGAGGTTTTTTCTCCACGAGTTATGTTGCCCCATTCTCGGTCGATGGGCGTGAAATTCCTCTGTGTCCTGGGAGACGTTGCAGGTTCGCAGCAGGACCCCATGCTCTCCAAGTTGGCTCCTGCAGCTTTGCACGGTTCCAATGCGAGCGGTCTTGTGATCAAGTTGTCTCGCAGCAGGAAGGTTGCTGGTTCAAAACCCTTCTGCAGCCTTTTTGTGTGGAGTTATGTTCTCCCCATGCATGCGTTGAAACGGCTGTTTTCCGCTTGGTCCTAGTGCTCAACCAGTGTCTACTTAATATAACGTAATATAATTTTTGGACGGTAAAAAGTGCAGGGGACAAAACTTTAGAGGAAAAATTACATCCATCGTTGTAAGTTTGAAAAATGTAAATTTCAAAATGTATTTAATTAGAAACCCGATAAGCAGACCAACTCTACCAGCTTAACAAAAAAACATACTGAGGGGAATTAGGTATGATGTGAAAAAGTTTATTTCTAACCATATTTTCTCAAACATTAACATTTATCTTTTCAGTTTGCAGGTATATTTGAGCTTCAGTCATAACAATGTCTTCAATTCCTGGACTTCCTACACCAGGGTCAGAGGTTCCTGTTCTCATCAACAAAGTAAATCTAAAATCCCGTCATGGTCTGGTAGAATTATGGGTCAGTGTGGATGATGGAAGGAAGCACATTTATGAGCAGAAGAGGGAGGAAATTCAGATTCCCCAGAGAAAGTTTTATGGATCAGAAGGAAAACCTGGAGACACCTGTCTTGTTTGTGTCACGGACGTTTGGCACAGAGCTCAAATTGTGTCCATTCAAAATGAAACCTACAATGTTTTTCTGATTGACCAAGGAGAATCACATGTCACCACGAGTGCAGCTTTAGCATGGGGCAAGAATGACAGTTTTCAATTCCCTCCTAAAATCGAACTTTGTATCCTTGCAAATGTCATCTCCCTTCAAAATGAGTGGCCTGAAACTGTCACCAAGTTTTTGATGTGTTTGCCAGGGAAGAGGTTCAAAGGACTGGTTCGGTACATAATTAAGCCAGATAGGATCATTCTCCTTGAGATGCCAATCATTTCCAAGCACATGTGTAAGCTTGGAGCTGCGAAGAAGATTAAAGTTGATGAATTTCTAGAAGTTGTGCAGAGACATCTTTGTGAAAGTGGAAAATCGTCTGGATCCCTTTGTTTACCACAGGAACTAGAGCTAGATATCCGGTGCCAACTTCCTCATCATGACCAATACTTTTATCCCGAGCTGACGACAAACATTTATGAAACTGTGAAAGTGACGGAAGTATTTGATCCACTCAATATTTCTTGCATACCCTTTGTTTTTTCCAAAGCTGTAGAACTGCTGTCTGATCAGATCCACCAGCATTATGAAGAGAGCTCAGATTTTAGAGAAGCTCATCCCCAGAGCTGCGGGGATCCATGTGCAACCAGGGGTGCTGATGGCAGGTGGCACCGCTCTCTACTAAAGCAAAACGTGGTGAATGGAGAGGATGTTGTGGAAGTCTTTCATGTGGATGAAGGAAAACCTGAACTAGTTGAAGCTGAAGGCATCAGACCACTCCTTGGAAGATTCCTAAAAATGCCAGTTTTCACCTATCATTGTTCCCTGAGTGGAGTAAAGGCAAACCTCAAAAAGTGGACTGCAGATGAGACTGATGAGGTAAAGTCGATGCTCCTTGATAAAACACTGGTGGCGAGGATTGAAGATTACGACAAACCTCAAGATGTCTATTATGTTGCTCTGTATGGAGCAAATGCTGAATGCATCAATGATGTTATTCTTGAAAAAGCAGGACTTGTATCATCATCTGAGTCTGGAAAAGGTTTAAATGACCAGAAGGAATCCTCATCTTCCCTTTCGTTGGAGGAAAAAAAACTATTAAACCTACAAAATCAAACCAATGGAGTTTGTGATCTGGAAGAAAAAACGAGGCCAAATGCAACAGAACAAGTGGACAGTGGCAGGAGTGGATGTTCTCAAGTTCTTGACCCTCTGCTACACAGCAATGGGCATCTTTCAACAAGTTTGTTGCAAAATGCTTGCGATGACAGCACATTTGCTGTAGGTGAAACAGTTGATGTCCAAATTTCTTGCATTGAAAGTCTACAGAAGATCTGGGGTCAACCATTAAAAAGTGGTGATTCTCTTAGTGTGTGTAAAAAAGCTTTCAAGAATATAGACCTGCTCACAGATCCAAAGAAGTCCAATGGGAAAACTGAAATGGTGTATGCATCTTGTATTGCAGGACCCAGTTTCTTTTGGTGTCAGTTTTCCAACACAGAGGATCTGGACAAAGTGTCTCAGCTTGCTCACAAAGCTGGACAGGAAAAGCAGGATGCAATGATCCCTAAGAGTCTCAACATTGGCGGTCCGTGTCTTGCTCTGTTTTCCCAAGACAACCAGTGGTACAGAGCTCAAATTCTTCAGAAAGACGAAGAAACACTCCGTGTCCTGTTTGTCGACTATGGAAATGAAGCTGAAGTTGATGTCAGAAATGTGAGACCTCTGCCCCAGAGTCTACTGGAGACAACCTCTCAGGCCTTTTTGTGTTCTTTGAGTGGATTTGATGAGTCCAAAGGCTGCTGGACTGATGAAGCTTATGACAACTTCTATAATGTTCTGATTAACAAACCTCTTAAACTGACCATTCACACCATGAGGGACCATCCAGAGATTACAGTTCCTCAGTATTCAGTAGATGTTGACCATGAAGGAGTAAATATAAATGCAGTGATGCTAAAATACTGGGAACCAGTTACAGAAGACATGGCAAAACCAGAAAATCCTTCAACTACTGACTCAATCCAGGATGATCAAGAGCAGAGCAGCATGAAACAACTTTGTGAGTCTAAAGAGGCTTCTAATAAAATGGACTTTAAAGACCTTATGATATCCAGAAAAATTACAGAAACGGTGTATGCATCTTGTATTGCTGAACCAGATTTCTTCTGGTGTCAGTTTTCAAATACCACAGATGATTTACACAAAGTGTCTCAGCTTGCTCAGGAGTTTGGACAGGAAGACCAGGATGTGATGTTCCCTCAAAGTCTTGAATCTGGCAGTCCATGTCTTGCTCTGTTTTCCCAAGATGACCAGTGGTACAGAGCTCAAGTTATGCAGAAGGAAGGGGAAACCCTCCGTGTTCTGTTTGTTGACTATGGAAATGAGGCTGAAGTGGACATTAAGAATGTAAGAGCATTGCCCAAAAGTCTAATGGAGATGAGTCCTCAAGCCTTTTTGTGTCGTCTAAGTGGATTTGAGAAGTCCAAAGGCTCCTGGGATGACACAGCTTATGACGAGTTCTACAAGCTTCTGGTTGACAAACCCCTTAAAGTGACTGTGTTGGATATGGAGGAACATTCAGAGATGGAAATTCCTCAATATGAAGTTCAAATGGAGTGTGAAGGAGTGGTTGTGAATACGCTGATGAAGAAATACTGGAGACCGTTGGATGTGGAAGGCCAGTTCGCCTGGAAGCAGGTTAGTAAAGTATAGTTTGGGATTTTAAAAGGAACCCAGGTTACAAAACTTTGTAGTTCTTAAAAGATAAATGTTATTATCAGTTATATTAAAGTGGCGTAAAAAACCTTAATGTCTTCATTTTTATAAAATGTGTTAAAATAGTTTAACTCGTAGGTCGCCATTGTTGTTAGCGTCGTAATGCTCTCTGGGTAGTGACGTCATTTGGTTGTACCTCAGTTGCACCGGCCCGCTTTGGGACCCTGTGTTGACTGTTCAGCGACATAAACATGTCATCTGTTCAGCCTTTTCAATTTGAACCAGAGCGAAACATTAATGAGGACATCACTGACGATGTTTCACAAAACGAGCTTCAAAATGAAGAGCAAGAAGGGCGGGATGAAGCAAGTGCAGGACAAACCGGTGGTGCGTGCAGCAAATGCGTCTCCATGGTAACTGAGAGGGAGAGTGTCAAGGGCGTCAGTTTGTTTTCAGAATTGCTGGGGACAATAACCATACACATGAGTGGGGTTTAAAAATTGCTGGGGACAATAAAGTAAGCTAGCACAGGGGTCGGCAATCCGCGGCTCTGGAGCCGCATGCGGCTCTTCCATCCATCTGATGCAACTCTCTGTGCTTGTAAAATAATAAATGGATATTTAAATAAAATGCTTTATATTTTACTGCATTAATTTTACACCTGTATGCCAATTCTAAATGTAAAGATTGTCTGCGTAAACCTGAACAGGTCCAACCCGGTCTGCGGTGGTTGACCGGTCACGCTTGTGCGTAATCATATCGGCACTTTATGAGCTGAAGAGGATGTGAGATTCTGGGCTTCTCCTCAGACGGCTCCTGGATGTGTCGCCACATTGGAGCCAGGAACAAGCACTATTCAGCCAAAGTTTCATAATCAGGGAACATTTTCTAAGTGACAAGTCTCTCTGAGAGACAGGGTTTGGAAAACACTCGCTTCAGTGGGAGGAATCTTCCCGCATGCGCACTGCATGGTTCTCTGCGTGGCTCTAGGGTTAATCAAGTTTAATTGTTTCTCTTTGCAACAATCTTCACAGGAAGGCAAAACAGTTAAACGGCAGGTTTCAGATATTTCCATTTGACTGTTTATTTTGACAGATGTACTCAAGGATGTTGCTTGGTTTGAAAAAATTACCCCGACGCACACGGATGCTCATGGATGAGCTGACATTTTAATCGTTAACGCACACGCGGAGGTAAAATATTCCCATCAGAACATCAGAGCTCTTTATACTGGACACTGTGTTCAGCGCGGCTCGGAGCGCCCCCGGTGGACAGTGAGCTGAAGATCAGGGGTTCCAGCGCAGTGCAGAACCACGCGCATGCGATGATTTCCTCCCACTGAAGCGTTCTGGAAACCCGGTCTCTCTGAGGGATGTGTCACTTGGAAAATGTTCTTTTTATGAAATTATGAAACTTTGGCTGAATAGCGCTTGTTCCCGTCTAGTTCCGCATGAAGCGTAGAGACATTTGATCACGCACAAAGTTTATGTGGAGCAGAAGCGGTCGGGCCACGGCAGATGAAACGTTCCTAGCCTACATGAAGTGAAACTGTTTAATTGTAACATTAATATGTTACTGGACACGCTGGTCTGGTTGGTTAGACCAGTGTTTGAAGTGGAAAACACACACACACACACACACACCAATTAAAATATAAAATAATGCTGATAGCGTGGACTAGAAGACAGGTGATGGTTTACGTATTTAAATGATGATCAGGCTGCTGTAAAATGTAATCTCCATCCACATCCAGACACAATTATCCTCTATTCTTTCTCTAGTTGCTCTGCTCTTGTCTGGGCTGATCAGCTGATGGTGCGCGCGCGCCTAACTAGCGGCTGATGCACATTTTACGCATTTGGAGAGGTGGACTGGATGCTGTGCGTTTACTGGAAGATGGTCCACTTAACGCACGGGTGTAGACTACATATTAATGACAAATGAATGAAAATTAAATTGTGAGTTTTTACTTCATATTTTATAAATAAAAATGACGGGGGAACACATTTATGACATCTTTTTAAACGAAATTTTCTAGCGCGACCTGCCTGCTTCACTTAAGTCACTGCTTATTAAGGTCCGTCCAAAATTACCGTGGGAAACGGGTAATAATGGCTCTTTGATGGGAACAGGGTGCCGACCCCTGGATAAGATCTGAGCTGGTAAAACAAAAATCCTCATCAGCAGGCGTTTTTGAAAGTGGGGGGGGACACAGCTGCCAATCACAAATTTTGCCGGGGACATGTCCCCAGCGTCCCCGGTTAAAATGACGCCTATGGAGAGTGTTAAGAGCTCATATTTTTGTCAGCAGAAGTTAACGGTAAGCTATTGTGTGATCAATCTTATTCAATTATGAATGATTTTGGAGAATTTTAGCATCCAGTGCCGTTGTGTGCTTTATACAGTGGTGTGAAAACTATTTGCCCCCTTCCTGATTTCTTATTCTTTTGCATGTTTGTCACACAAAATGTTTCTGATCATCAAACACATTTAACCATTAGTCAAAGATAACACAAGTAAACACAAAGTGAAGTTTTCAAATGATGGTTTTTATTATTTAAGGAGAGAACAAAATCCAAACCTACATTGCCCTGTGTGAAAAAGTTATTGCCCCCCGAACCTAATAACTGGTTGGGCCTCCCTTAGCAGCAATAACTGCAATCAAGCATTTGTGAAAACTTGCTACAAGTCTTTAACAGCACTCTGGAGGAATTTTGGCCCACTTATCTTTGCAGAATTGTTGTAATTCAGCTTTATTTGAGGGTTTTCTAGCATGAACCGCCTTTTTAAGGTCATGCCATAGCATCTCAATAGGATTCAGGTCAGGACTTTGACTAGGCCACTCCAAAGTCTTCCTTTTGTTGTTCTTCAGCCATTCAGAGGTAGATTTGCTTTTGTGTTTTGGGTCATTGTCCTGCTGCAGCACCCAAGATCGCTTCAGCTTTAGTTGACGAACAGATGGCCAGATGTTCTCCTTCAGGATGTTTTGGTAGACAGTAGAATTCATGGTTCCATTTATCACAGCAAGCCTTCCAGTTCCTGAAGCAGTAAAACAACCCCAGACCATCACACTGCTACCACCATATTTTACTGTTGGTATGATGTTCTTTGTCTGAAATGCTGCGTTACTTCTACGCCAGATGGAACGGGACATTTGCCTTCCAAAAAGTTCAACTTTTGTCTCATCAGTCCACAAGGTATTTTCCCAAAAGTCTTGGCAACCATTGAGATGTTTCTTAGCAAAATTGAGACGAGCCCTAATATTCTTTTTGCTTAACAGTGGTTTAGTCTTGAAAATCTGCCATGCAGGTCATTTTTGCCCAGTCTCTTTCTTATGGTGGAGTCGTGAACTTTGACCTTAATTGAGGCAAGTGAGGCCTGCAGTTCCGTAGAAGTTGTCCTGGGGTCTTTTGTGACCTCTCGGATGAGTTGTCTCTGTGCTCTTGGGGTAATTTTGGTTGGCCGCTCACTCCTGGGAAGGTTCACCACTGTTCCATGTTGTTGCCATTTGTGGATAATGGCTCTCACTGTGGTTCGCTGGAGTCCCAAAGCTTTAGAAATGGCTTTATAACCATTACCAGATATATCTCAATTACTTTTGTTCTCATTTGTTCTTGAATTTCTTCGGATCTTGGCATGATGTCTAGCTAGTGAGGGGCTTTTGGTCTACTTCTCTGTGTCAGGCAGCTCATATTTAAGTGATTTCTTGCCCAACATGACAGAAGCGGCAGCTGCAGGAGCGGGTTGTCGGCTCGGGAGAGCGTCCAGTGTCTCTTGTCTCTCCGAGGGTGTTTAAGCTCCTTGTGTGGGAAAATGGTCGGTAAAGCATTTAGTTTCTGCCTTCTCTTATGCCCAGCTGCTCTGGTGAGCTCTTTAAGTAGTTTTGGTCGACTATAAGCCTCAAACGCATCAGGAGAAAAATGTTGGGAACACAGCCGCGGATCTTTGGGAAGTTGTGTCCGTCCACAGGCATCTTCCCACTGCTTTCTCCTCTTCTTGCCAGTGGGAAAGCTGTGTTAACTCACATCACTCCCCTTGTTGCCCTCTGACTGGAAATTACATCCAAAAGCAGCACAATGCGGCATTTTACTTAATTATAAATACGGTGAGCGCGTAAACAAACACTAGCGTCAATAGTTATTCTTCCAAGTGCAACCAATATACGTCATCGCCCCCAGAGTGCATTGCGTGCGGAAAACATGGCGTCCTACGTATTTCAGAAAGTGTGCTAAATATTATAGTTTTATAAACAGCAATATTTTGTGTGTTTCTAGCATAGTTTGGTACAACAGAAAACTTGTGGCTTATTAGGGCATACACGTCCTCCTAGCCGGAGTTCCCTTTAAGACAGTTTGTTGTTTTTTAAATTTAACTCATGTCTCATTTTTAGTGGCCCAAGATGAAGCCTAACTCATCCTGATGTTGAAAAGAATGGTAGGCTTAACTTGTATTTCCCCTTGTCTCCTATTTTAAAATGATTTTTTTTAAATCAAATAGTTTTAAATTAACCTATCAGAAACTTGGGTTATTGCAACAAAGACTTAATAATTACCAGAGTTTTGAGACTGATTTGATTTTTTTTTCTTTCAGGTCCTGATGAAGCAAAATTGTGATTGGTCTTAATTTTCTAAATACATTAATGCTTGTCTGTTTTAAAAAATGTTACTATTAAAATAAAGGATTTTTCTATATGGATCAAAAATATTCTTATGAGTATTTGTTTGGGTGAGCATCAAAAACTGTTACAATTTTTTCCAGGCTGAAATGTTTTTTTTTTTTGAGTGAAATAAAAACAAACTTTTGGTTCACTGGGAACAGTTTGATTTGTACAATGATCTGTATAAAAATGTATTTATTTTAGGCTGGATTGTTTCAGACTGGACAAATAGACATCTGTTGTATTTAGGACTTTAGTATTAATTCATTATTTCATGTATTTTTCACCAAAATCTTAACTGTCCAGCTTTATGAAGCAAAAACAAATTGACTTCTGGTAAATTCTTGTCACAAAAATTTTTATTTGAAAAATGTGGAGTGATTATCAGAATGAATGTTCATTATCTGACAGATTAAATCGTCTTTCACTTTGAATCTGACAGATCTGGACAGTTGAAAAGAAATAAAATTGATAGCTTTAAAATTTAGTATCTTTTTAATTTTTTTACAAATGTTTAGTAATTGTCCCACAAGCAAAATCTGCAAGTTTTAAACAAAAGTTGTCACAGACTGATGAGTACCATGTGGGCTTAAGTTCAAGAATAAAAGACTTGCAAACCTCTCTATTACCTAAATGCTCCCTGTATAATCACCTTTATTTATAGAGCCCCTTACAGGCAGGAGGCATCATACCAAAGTGCTGCACAGTAACAAATTAAAACCGATCAAATCAACAGACAGTTAAAACCAACAAGTAAAAACCATAAAATCGTGTAAAAGTTCAACATCTAATCCAGAGAGTTAAAAGCCAACCCATAAAAGTGGGGCTTCGACCTGGATTTTAAAGCTGCTACTGATGGAGAGAGGCTTACAGATGGGGAAAGTGTGCTCCTACAGCAATTTAGGACAGGTGCTGCAGGCAGGCCAGGATTCCTCTTGACTTTAAATGACACTGGTCATTTTAAGTACAATAAATTTCCTTTTTACTTTGCCAACATTTCCAATATTCCAGTAACGTGTGTTGATGCCTGTTTAATTAAATGTTGGTGAAAGATTATTGCAATAATTTGCTAAACTATTGTTACAATATTATGTAGAAAGATTCAGGCCCACCATGTCATTCTTCTACTGGTCCAGCAGGCCGCAGCGTTGCTGCTCACGAGCTCGGGTTAAAGCGTCGGTCACGTTGGATGAGCTGTTGCTAGGCAACGACGTAAACGACATGACAGAGCTGCATCAGGCGGCAGCAGCTGGAAATATTGGCAACGTTAAAAAGCTCCTGGCTCAGAAGTACAACCCGAACCAGAGGGACATCGACTGGGGCGACAAGACACCGCTCCACTGGGCAGCAGCTAAAGGTAGCTAGCTAGTCTAGCATGTAGCTTCTGCTAGACCGCGGCTCTGTTTCGGTTACTCCTGTTCCTCTGGTCCCTCTGCCTGTTAGGCATAGGAAAGACTATTTAAATAAAATATATTCTATTTAGAAAAACTTCAATTGTTCTCTTTGAGTCAGTCTTAATTCAGAAAAATGAGTCATCTAAAAAGAAAGTGAAAATTAAACTGACATTTGTTCAGTGTGACTGAATCTCAATTGCTTTAAATGACTAAATAAAATTCATCACTACTGTATTTATTGGTCTGATATTCTATCCTTAAAGCAGTTTTATAATGACGTGCTTATCTAGTAGTAGTAGTAGTATATACTCCACCCACCAGCAGGTAAAATAAAAACAAACAAAATGAAGTTAAATACATTTTTTAAAAAGTACAAGTTTTTTTCATAGCTGTAAAAATGTCTAAATGACTCAAATAAAAATAAATAAACGAGGATTAGACTTCCTACCGATGTTTAACAAATCAAACACATTTTTGACCCTGTCATTTTCAGACGATGTCTCCTGTCCTCATGTCATATTATAACCACCTGTCTAATTCTGGGTGTCTTTTTTTGCCTCTGAAGAAAACCTCATAAGGCATCATCTATGATGGGTTGTTGTGGTCCCTGTGGACGTTGTTGCCACCAGATTAATCAGTTTGGTAGTTGTGATGGTAGATAAGTGTTTAGGGGTGAGGCTTTAATCCCTAAAATCTTTGTTTTAAGGAGATAGTCTAATGATATCCACATGGACATTATTGCACTAGCCTTACAGGATACTCACAGAATACTTAGAAAAGTTAAGAGCCCGTGTTCTTATGGCCACAAATTTACTATGTTGTACTTTTTAGGACACACAGAGGTTGTGAGGATCCTCGTGGAGCACGGCGCCAGACCGTGTCTTAAGACGGAGCACGGATGGACTCCAGTCCACTTTGCTGCAGAAGCCGGCCAGCTGGCTGTGCTGCAACTGCTGCACTCTGTCCACGCACCAATGGACAAGGAGGACTGCTGTAGGGAAAAACCAGTGAGGTTGGCCGAAATATATGGACACCGAGGTTGTGTTCAGTTCCTCAAAAAGTATGACTCAAGCCCAGTTTCTTCCATCTTTAATACAATAAGCATTTCATTATGTTTATGTATATATATATTTATTCATCACAGTTAATAAACCGTCCTGTTTTTGTTTGTTGTAGAGCAGAGACAGAGTGTCAGGCCTACCGCAAAAAAGCAGCTCAAGAAGGTATTTCAATGGATGACACAGATGAAGAATGGGCAGAACGAAGTAAAGAAAGGGAGAATAACTGGACTACTGAGAGCAAAAATAAGAAAATTTACAAAACAAAGTTTGATAATCATTTAAAACTTGCACTATAGTCTCTTCTAATGTGTGAATTAAAACATGCAACACAATATAACCTCATTCATATGACATCTGTAAATAGCGTCATCTAACTTATTAAGATCTGGGGCCTCATGTGCAAAGACAGCTTAGATCGAGAAAACGGTATATGCACAAACAAATTCAGACGAATGAAAGTGAGCACACGCTAGTGAATACCAGGAATCTCATCTTCACATATATTCTTGCAAATTTAAACATGCAAATAGATGCACACAAGTCCTACATGTCTAATTATTATCTGCACAATTAAAAATCATGTGTATCTGTGGGAATGAAGAGAACAGCAGAAGACAGGTAGTTCCTCAGTTCGTTAGAACGAAAGATTCGTTCATTAAATCAGGTCACTTTCGCACAATCGTTTTATCCAATTTGAGCGAATGAGTGTTTTCAGTAAATATTTTCACCGTGTGATGCCATTCTTAAGTTATATGTGTGCAGCCGATGGCTCCAGTCACATCACTGGCTATCGCAGCAAATTATGTTTAATGTTTAACTGCCTTTTATGGGAATTTGGAAGAGCCATACAGATAATCTCATCCCACACAACTGATATGACTCAGTTCAGAGCTGACTGGGCCATTCAGCCTGGAGCTGCACACTTTTCATATGTCATTTTTATTATTGATACATTTGGAGTTTTGCATGGGAAGGTGCATACCCACTCTGCACAGGAAGCCTCAGATGTCACTAATGTATATAAAAAGCAAAAGACAGATAAATATATGTTTTAGCATGATTAATGTGCAATAAAAATGTATGACTGACAGTCAAGCAATCGCATCAGAGTAAATGTATCATTTTAAATGTATTTCTTTAGGCAATTTTACGTAAACAGTTTTACGTGCAATAGCTGGTTTGTCATCACTTGGCGTGATTTTATTTCCTGAATGATGTTTCTAACTTTGTGGTGCTTTCACTCATGCTGGAGACTGCTGGAGTCTGGAGATCAGAGGAAAAGGTGTGAGGTTAACATTCCTCATTGTAGTTTGCAAGCAAACAAATCTAGTGATGGATCACTTACTGTCTTCTTGAAGAACTTCATCAGTGCATCACGGGTCTGTCGGAATCAGGATAAAACAGCTGTAAGGATGCTACAACCAGTTTGTTTAGTTTTTTATTATAATGTAGAGTTTTAAATTCAGTACCAGTGAAAAGTTTGGACACAGCTATTCATTCAAAATAAATGGGCAGCTGTGTTCAAACCTAAACCTTGTCGTCGTCGTCTTCCTCTGCTTATCCGGGTCCGGGTCGCGGGGGTAGCATCCCAACTAGGGAGCTCCAGACCGTCCTCTCCTCGGCCACCTCCACCAGCTCCTCCGGCAGGACCCCAAGGCGTTCCCGGACCAGATTGGAGATGTAACCTCTCCAATGCGTCCTGGGTCGACCCGGGGGCCTCCTGCCGACAGGACATGCCTGAAACACTTCCCCAGGGAGGTGTCCAGGAGGCATCCTGACCAGATGCCCAAACCACCTCAACTAACTCCTTTCGATCCAGAGGAGCAGCGGTTCTACTTCGAGTCCCTCCCGAATGTCCAAGCTCCTCACCCTATCTCTAAGGCTGAGCCCAGCCACCCTACGGAGGAAACTCATTTCGGCCGCTTGTATCCGCGATCTTGTTCTTTCGGTCATTACCCAAAGCTCATGACCATAGGTGAGGATTGGGACGTAGATCGACCGGTAAATCGAGAGCCTGGCTTTCTGGCTCAGCTCCCTCTTCACCACGACAGATCGGTTCAGCGTCCACATCACTGCAGACGCCGAACCAATCCGCCTATAGATCTCCCAATCCCTCCTACCCTCACTCGTGAACAAGACCAAGAGATACTTAAACTCCTCCACTTGAGGTAGGACCTCTCTCACGACCCGGAGTTGGCAAGCCACCCTTTTCCGGTCGAGAACCATGGTCTCAGATTTGGAGGTGCTGATCCTCATCCCAGCCGCTTCACACTCGGCCGTGAACCTACCCAGCAAGAGCTAAAGGTCAGAGCTGGATGAAGCTAGGAGGACCACATCATCCGCAAAAAGCAGACACGGGATTCTCCTGCCACCAAACTCGACACACTCCACACCACGGCTGCACCTAGAAATTCTGTCCATAAAGGTAATGAACAGAACCGGTGACAAAGGACAGCCCATGCGGAGTCCAACCCTCACCGAGAACAGGTCCGACTTACTACCGGCTATGCGGACCAAACTCACACTCCTCTGGTAAAGGGACTAAATGGCCCTTAACAGAAAGCCACCCACCCCATACTCCTGGAGCGTCCCCGACAGGGTGCCCCTGGGGACACGGTCATAAGCCTTCTCCAAATCCACAAAACACATGTGGATTGGTTGGGTAAACTCCCATGCCCCCTCCATCACCCTTGCAAGGGTATAGAGCTGGTCCACAGTTCCACGGCCAGGACGAAAACCACATTGCTCCTCCTCAATCTGAGATTCAACTATTGATCTGACCCTCCTCTCCAGTACCTTGGAGTAGACCTTTCCAGGGAGGCTGAGGAGTGTGATCCCCCTATTGTTGGAACACACCCTCAGGTCGCCCTTCTTAAAGATGGGGACCACCACCCCGGTCTGCCACTCCACAGGAACTGCCCTCGATGACCACGCAATGTTGCAGAGACGTGTCAACCACGACAACCCTACAACATCCATAGCCTTGAGATACCCAGGACGCATCTCATCCGCTCCCGGGGCTCCGCCGCTGTGTAGTTGTTTGACTACCTCAGCAACTTCTGCCCCAGAGATTGGAGAGTCCATCTCCAGGTCTCCCGGCTCTGGTTCCTCTTCGGAATGCGCGTAGGTGGGATTGAGGAGCTCCTCAAAGTATTCCTTCCACCATCCGACTATAACCCCAGTTGACGTCATCAGCTCCCCGTCCCCACTGTAAACAGTGTGAGCGAGTTGCTGCCTTCCTCTCCTGAGGCGCTGGACAGTTTGCCAGAACCTCTTTGGAGCCGATCGATAGTCTTTCTCCATGGCCTCACCAAACTCTTCCCACACCCGAGATTTAGCCTCGGCAACTGCCACTGCTGCACCCCGCTTGGCTATCCGGTACCTGTCTGCAGCCCCCAGAGACCCACAGACCAGCCACGCCCTGTAGGCCTCTTTCTTCAGCCTGATGGCTCCCCGAACCTCTGGTGTCCACCAGCGGGTACGGGGGTTGCCACCACGACTGGCACCAGCCACCTTGCGACCACAGCTAGCTGCCTCAACAATCACAGAGTGGAACAAGGCCCACTCGGAGTCAATGTCCCCCCACTGCTCTCGGGACGTGGTCAAAGCTCTGCCGGTTGTGGGAGTTGAAGACCGTCTTGACAGGTCCTTCTGCCAGGCGTTCCCAGCAGCACCTCGCTATGCGTTTGGGTCTGCCAGGTCTATGCGGCATCTTCCCCTGCCATCTGATCCAACTCACCACCAGGTGGTGATCAGTTGACAGCTCCGCTCCTCTCTTCACTCGGGTGTCCAAAACATTCGGCCGCAGGTCAGATGATACGACTACAAAGTCTATCATCGACCTGTGACCTAGGCTGCCCTGGTACCAAGTGTACCGATCGGCATCCTTATGTTCGAACATGGTGTTTGTTATGGCAAAACTGCGGCTTGCACAGAAGTCCAATAACGAAACACCACTCGAGTTCAGATCAGGCGGGCCGTTCCTTCCAATCACACCCTTCCAGGTCATGCTGTCATTGCCCACGTGAGCATTGAAGTCCCCCAGCAGGACAACAGAGTCCCCTGACGGAGCACTATCTAGCATTCGTCCCTGGGACTCCAAAAAGTGTGGGTACTCTGAACTGATATTTGGCCCATAAGCACAAACAACAGTCAGGACCCGTTCCCCGACCTGAAGGCGCAGGGAAGCTACCCTCACGTCCCACGGGGTAAACCCCAACACACAGTGTTCAAACTTGGTTCTGTAAATTTAAATCAGCCACAATGTCACAAGAAGCCAGAATTGGGCTCGAAGACCTTCTATTGGTGTTGCTAAAATGTTTGAGACCCACTGCAGTAGAACATTATTCATCTGTATTAATATTTGGCATCTTTAAAGGTTTGGAGCAATTGTTTAATCAATACATTTGCAATGGTCTCAAGTAGGAGTGAATGCCTTGTAAGTCATACTCGGGGGAATAAAAGCTCAGCTGCACCAATTTCAGGAAGTAGAAGTGAGCCACACCAGAGCTGAGCTTCAGATGGCAGGCTTTGGAGTCTTATTTCCTGATATTTGGACATCTTGCTTCTGATTGGATAACAGTAACATGACCGTTTGCTTTGTTGCGTTGATGTTTTATCTCCACAAATAGCACAAGCCTGGAGGAATTCTGCTATGTGGTGGACTTGCTAATGCTAACAGTTAGCGTCTACTAGCCGAGACGTTCTCTGCTGTTTTCGGGACGCTAAGCCAACAACAGCCTTCCCCGTCGTGAGTCAAGGTGGGTGAGCCCATGAATGTTAAGTGACAGCGTGACGTAGATCTGTCAGAATTTTCTGATCCTAGCGTTTGACTGTCTATTTTCTATCAGAAGCTAAAGCAGGAAATAGATGTAGGAGACTATTTTCATGTTCAGCCTGCATGAAAAAGAGTGACTGATTATAATCAGACATAATAAAAAAATGTGTTCCACACCTTTAAAAAAATATGAACTTACCATTTTGTCACACAAGTACGAGGTCAACAAAATGAACAAGCCCTGCAATTTAAGGAAAGTTTACTTTATTTCTGTTGCCGTTTGAGGTGTTTTGCTAAATTAGATATTGACTGTACCTGAAAGGCGTTTAGAATGACAAAGAGGTAATTGATCGCTAGAGCCAGAGGTCCATCTGTGAGGTCGAAAATCTCCACAGCTAATCCAAAAACCCATGTCACGCCAAAGATTGGGGTCAGCAGGATAACCGCCCTCAACACCGTTTTGGCTGCTGCTTTCTCCCTTTCCTGTGATGCGTCTGCATGCTGATGGTGGGCACTTAAAAGCTTCATAATTACCACCACCATGGAGAACACATTGACAAAAATGATTATGCCTACTGGAATGACAAACGTATAATAGGAGCCCTGCAGAAGGCCTTTATAAACCAGCCAGCAGGTATCTGAGGAGTAGTACAAACCTTGAGCTCCTGCACTGTAGCTAAGAAACGTGACAAAAACAATAATAAAGGGGAAACCATAGCCCAGGACCAACGAGAACCGCAGGTAGTTCCTCTTGCTCACTTTATGGAACAAGAAAACTGCTTGGTGGAGGAGTGTGATACTAAGACACAGCATCCAGAAGAACATGGCCAGGTAACAAAAATGCTTCAGCACCACAGATGTTCTACACCATATGTCTGTAAGACCTTCTGGGTTGGAAGATGCTAAAAAACATGCATTAGCAACCAGCAAGCACAAGGCAATGTTCACATGGGCAGTATGTCTCAAATACAAAGTGTTTGTCTTAACAACATCACTCCAGACAATCAGTTCTATCACAAGGCAGATGATGAGTGACACTACCGATATTCCCAGACCAACAGAAGTTATCTGATCTAACATTGGGACTTTGATGGGATCACTGGATATTAGAATGGTAAATGCGGAGAGATGATCGCAAGTGCAGAGTCCCTCATTGCTGGAGCCACCCCACGTACACCCCCTTGTTGACCATGTTTCATTGTTCCAAAAGGCACACTGCAACACAACATTGCGAGGTCTTGGTTTATGTAGGTCAAACTGCATTTCAATTATGGGGTTATCTTGTTTTGTGTCTGTAGTTGTCGACACAACTATGCTGTTGACCTGTGTCTTGTCATTGGAAGTAGGCAAAAGCTGGTCCAGGGATTTGTACCCAATTGTTTTCACAGTGCTTGAACTGTCAATTTTAACGCTAACATTAAAAACAGTGTTGTTGCACCTGCGATCATTGCATGTATATACCTGTAGATTCAATTTATTAATTAGCCCTGTCGTGTTTGATTTCTTGACTAAGTTCTCAACTGAATTCAAAAATGTACTAGCCAATGAGTAGCTGTCATTAGAGTTTGCATTCCAGGATTGCACGAGAGTCTCGTTCAGCAAATTACTGGATGAGTCCAGAAAGTTCTGGAAAAAAAAACAAAACAAGTTAAACAGCCTTTAAACACATATTCTCTGTTTGGATGTGTGTACTGTGCAAATATAAAAATGATTTTAAAAGTTTAAAGGGCATAATAAGTTAGCTGCTACGGTTATCAACCACTTAAAGTACTTTAAACTATAGATCACATTTAACTACCACGGTTCAGTGATACTCACGTCTATTGCTGAACCACTGCTTATACTTGTGAGCTTTGGTTGCATGGTGCTGAGTACTAGAACCGAGGTATTCATGTTGGCAAAGCTGTTTAATGTTGATGTCTTAGTGACATTCTGAAAGCGAGAAAATACGTCTTCAGCATTCAGATTCAGCGCGCCAAGTCCGATGTCACTAATCTGTAGAAACAGGAAACATTCGTGAGGATTAGGTCTACATAGTCTGCAATAACTTCTTTATATAGGTTTTGTATTAAAGGTGTGGTTCACTGAAAACCCATTTATTATTATATTGTTATAATTAGTCACTCTGAGTTTGTCATGCAGGCTGAACATGAAAATAGTCTCCTACATCTATCTCCTGCATTTGCTTCTATATATAAATACACGGTGAAACTTTAGGATTTGACAAACCTGACAGGTCTAAGTCATGCCATCCCTTGACCTTTATGGACTCACCCATCTTTCCTCATGACAGGGAAGGATGTTGTTTTAGTGTCCAGTAAACAGCAGATGATATCTCAACTAGTAGAAGCTAACCATTAGCATTATCAACTCCACCACAAAGCAGAACTACTCCAGGCTTGTGTTAACGTGGCAGAGCAAACGACTTGGGTAGAGTTGCTTTGCTGTTAGCCAATCCGAAGCGAGATGTCCAAATATCAGCAAATGAGTCCAGATCCTGTCATCTGAAGCTCAGCTATCATGTGACTCACTTCTTGTTCCTGAAACAGGCGCACTGGGGCTTTTTTTCTCCAGACTATGACTTAAAAGGCATTAATTCCTTCTTGAGACCGCTGTAAATGTGTTGATTAAATGAGTGAACCACACCTTTAACACAAATGGGTCAATTATGAGCTGATATTTCTTTCAAAAGAAGAAAAGCTAACATGTAACGAAGGTTTACGTACTATGGCACTCTGCAACACATCGAAGAGGCCCTGATTCACACACTCTGACACCTCATCCTGCCATTTTCCATCCCTAAAGTGAATAATAAAATGAGTGGCTGAACAGACAAACAAAACAAAAAAACTGACAATTTTTTGTGTTTTAACGGTTTCACGGAGTAAAAGAAAAACAGTTGAATGCTTTATCTGGTGATAAAAGACTAATTCTTACCCTGTGCAATAACGTCTTCTCACTCCAGCCTGGTTTTGACAATTTATTACTGCAGTATATCCGACCATGGTGTCCCCCCAGTCATCAACCCCTGCACAGTATTTGTCACCAGCTGTTTGGTGAGAAGAAAGGTTAAAACCAAGTTTCTATGTTTCTTGCAGTCATGTTGCAAAGAAAACAAACAGAAAATCCTGTAAGCAACATTAACTTTAGAAAAATGATTGCTCTGTAAAAATGTAGGATCTTCATGTCAGAAAGACTGTGTCCAAAGTTGCAGAATCATTGATGCTATTTAAATTCACTCCATAGGAACTAATCTACAACAATTTCAGCACTGACTCAACAAACTCGTCATTATTGTCTTGTTTTCGTAAATTATCTATGAAGCTTTTTACTTTCAGCCCTTTTTTTTAAAAGAGAAAACAAAAAGAAGCAAGTTTTGAAGGGGGGAGCATCTCTACACGACACAAATAAATAATGAAATAAACATTTTCATTCATGACTAATAGATAAAAACATCCTTAAAAACCTTTAGATAAAACATCTTATTAATTGTATTTTGGTATTTTAGTAAATGAAGCCAACGCAAAGATTCAATAGAGATCTCTTTCGTTATGCAAAGTGTTGTCATCAGAGGTGAGACCAAGTCACTGCTTTGCAAGTCACAAATCTTTACAGTCAAGTCTCGAGTCAAGTCCAAGTCAATGATGTGGAATTCCAAGTCAAGTCCAAGTCCTTAACTTTTAATTTTCAAGTCATAATCAAGTCATCTGTCCAACTTCAATTTAATGACAATGATAATAAATAAACTCCAGAAATAAAGCTTCTTAAAGCTTTGTGTATTTGCTCAAACAAGCAGAAAGTGCAACTGAAATTGATTATAAACAAAGTGTTGCTGCATTTAGCAGAACAAGATCACACTCAGATTTTTGTTCATGTCATGCCACTTTTGTGCTAAAATATCAAATGTGCTCAAGTCGATTCAAGTCGCAAGTAATTGGCGTTCATGTCCGAGTCAAGTCGTAAGTCTTTATAGATTTTATCAAGTCAAGTCAGAAGTCACTAAAATAATGACTCTAGTCTGACTCGAGTCCAAGTCATGTGACTCGAGTCCACCCCTCTGGTCATCTTGATTATTTAAATAATAATATAGTAATAAAGTACATCTCAGGACACCAGGAGGGATTAATGAATACCACCCTGGGCTTGAACTCATACGTACTGTAAATCATGATGAAGGCGATCTTTTTAGATGCATTTTGTTGGCACGTGTTTACAAAATCACACTGTGCTAATGGTAGCGTTGAAGGCTCGGTGCTTGCACGGTCACAGCTTACAACTTTAGTAGCTGTATATTTTTGAACTCTGCTTCCTGCAGGAGTCACACAGGCATGTCAGAAAATGCACAAGGATTCATCTAAAACATCTGATCCATTCAGGAGGATTTTCTTACCAGAAATGTTCTCCTTAGGTGAGGCGTACTGTGACCATGTCACGTTATACTTTTCATTGGTTGTGGGTATTTCACAAATAACTGTCACCACCTTCACATCGGTGTTACTGGTGCAGCGTGGAAACGCTGGCTTTGTGGAAACTGTAATTTGTGGTTGGAGGCAAATTTTCATAGTTTTGTTGGCTTTGTGGTATATGGTAGTGGAGTTTTTCTGTTGTATGTAGACACATGTATACTCTCCTGTGGAGAGGACAAACAATGAAGAGGGCTAAAGTCAATGTTTTTAGTTAAATGATCATTGGTTTACTTGAATCTCTGAATAAATAGATGCACATTTTGGACCCCTTTGAGTTATTGTTAGTAAAAAAAAAAAAAAAAAGGTAAACCTGGGTTCAGTGAGGCTCACAATGAGTGTTGTATGTGATGTCATCTGTCTGGAACTTTAAATCAGGTGCATTGGAGAAGAGAAACCACTAAAACATACTGGACAGAGGCCCTCGAGGACCAGGATCTGTTGTAACTAAGCCTGCTGTTATTAAATCCACAGCAGATATCAACTTTAAATCATTCCTTCCAACATCTACACTTCAATATTTTGCTGGTGGTGGTCGGAGGGGTTGGTTAGTGGCCAGTGCTCGGTGGCCTCACCCTCACCAGGGCAGCTTTAGCTACAGCGTAGCTCATCCCCACCAGCATGTGAATGTGTGTGTGAATAGGTGAATGACTGATTTTGTTGCAAAGCACCTTGGAGGGTTGCAGAACCCTAAGAAGGCGCTATACAGATACAGGCCATTTAATATTTTGTTTATATTTCCAGCTAACGTAAGGATGCCTATAAGTGGGGACACTAAATGAATCAATAATAAAAAACTTGACTGTTGATGAAATCCAAAGGAAAGAGTCAAAACCATCCAGTTACCGTTGGCTGTCAATCATTAGACATTTACCCAACTGCGAAACGTCTTCAAGAAACTAAAGAAGTCCAGTTGCCTTCATTCATACCCCTTTGGATTACTGAGAACCTTCACCAGCCTACTGCAACCAGAATGCTAATGAATCTCTCATGCAGGGAAGCCATCGCTGGCTGATTCTACCCGTACCAATCAGAGGCTCCCACTAGTAGGTAGGCGTCAGAATGACATAACCTCATTCGGCCAATCAGTCCATAGGTGGGTGTGTATGATCGGCTCAGCACGAAACGAACCACAAGGAAGTAGAGCTGAAAAAAGCAATCGGCTCTGCACAAACAACACAATGTAAATGCAAGGACCCCACCCGGCCCAGAATGAGCTGACCATAGTGTAAAAAGGCCTTTAGTCTACATTCTGGTTCTGTCTGGCTTTCACATCCAGGCATCTAAAGCCAGGATTTGTTTGGTAACTACTCAGCATAACGACATTTCCATCAGTAACGGGTACCGAGTTACTTTTCAGTACCTGCTTTGATGTAATTCCAAGTGAACCAAGCCGGGCTGAAAACGCGACGTCAACAACTATCGGTTTGATTGGCTAGGGGGAGGAGTCACTGCCTGCTGCTGAATTTTCCGCCTGCTGCCTCGCCTCATGCAGTCATTTCCAGGTTCAGAGATTGACAAAAAGTCAGAAACTCAGTAGAATGTCCAGCATTGTTGTGCAGTGCTGAGTTATGCTTATGCGTGTCATACAGATCACCTCACATTCGCGAACCCCCCCTCCCTGTGACTAGCACACCCACTAGAGCCATATCTCAGTAGTAAACCAACTGAACCGTGTCAAGCTCAAGTGAATCGAGACGGGCTGCGCTGAGTAGTTAATGGAATTGCAGTTTAAAAGCTGTGGCTGAAACAAATGTACCTTCCCAGAGCTCATCAACTTTGTTAAGTGAGATTGTGCTCTGTTGGAGTTGCACAGCCACTTTTGAAACGGTTCCATTGGTAATCAGGTATGTTTGGCCATTTGATTTCAGATTCCACTGCGGGTTATATCCCAGATCCTCCTGTGATATGCAGGAAATATTGACAGACTGGTGATACTGCACGGGTTGATTCGGTAATTCTAGATGGACGATTCCTAAAAAAAAGGAAAATCGTTAGAGATGAACAAACAGCAGTGATGGAACCACTGCCAGAGGTAATTACCTGACGTCACTAAATCCATATAACCGTTCACATTAGTGTTCAAGACGATCGAGCTGTTGAGCAGTTGTGCAGATTTGACACCAGAGACGATCGTCATAGCAAAAGTCGCGATAATGCTCCCGACGCTAACGTGAAAAGTAAAAACACAAAGTTTCTGTCAAAAACCAAAACAGACGTTTGTGTAAACCCTTTCTTTGGGAAACAACGCAAATACCTGTACTGTGTGATTTTTAAAGTGTCAAATCCTCTTATGGTACTGAAAACACTTTTCATCTGAAAACAAGAGTTTTGAGGTCATTTCAAGATTTCTGATTATATTTGCTGTTTATTTAAAAGTAAATGATTTCACCTCACGTAACAATCTACTGTCGCAATCCTTAAACAGCTGCAAAGTTTTATCCATCAGACATTGTTGATAGGATGTGTTGGTCAAAGTAATGTTCCCCGTGATGCCGACTGTAGACATACAAATACATAGATGTTTAAGGTGGTTTTTTCAAACAGATGCATGTACTGAAGCGTGTGTGTGTGTGTGTGTGTGTGTGTGTGTGTGTGTTTAAAGACAGTTAATGATAAATACCTGTGCTGTTTGAAACACACATCAGATTTGAGGCTGCTGAGAGGGAACATGGCGCCTCACCACAACATTTAGAAGCGGACATACAAGCTGCGTCGCTCCACCTGTGACCCGACGCACAACTACACACTGTTTCGTTTTCACACGCTTGTTACAAAAAGAAAACAGGGAGAATGAAACCCATCAGGCATGCTTTTAATCATGTATTTTATCAGAAAAACTCAAAAGTCAAAGTTTTAAATAATTTAAATCTTTACTTGTTGTCATTTTGAGGTCTTGGATTACAGAGTCCTCATAGACGCTCGAATACGTTGAAAGGTTTCCTAGTAAATACTCAAAGACACTTTTGTCTACGGTCAGGGTGTAATAATACATTTGCGTCGAGTTGTCTGAAACATAAAACAAACCATTCTAATGTATTTAGGAACAACGTCATGCATAAATTACGGTGCCGAATTTCACAAATGAAGAAATCACTTACCATTATTTGTAGCCTATAAAATAAATAAATAAAGATTTTAATCAATTTAATGATGTGATTTTCAATTCTTAGAGATGATCACAAACCTGGCAGATGTTTATGCCCAGCGTGTAAAGGAATATGAAGACCAGCATGTTGCTCCTGTAATACATGCATATTTTACTTAGACATGTACTCAGTGGAGTAGCAAATACGCAGTTGCACTTCAACAAAGTTTGTAGAATTCATTGAGAAAAACAGGAAATGTATTTATTGTGTTTAAAAAAAATTAAAACTATATCAGTGCATAAATAAGGTTTTTATTTTATATAAATATATGAATAATATCAAAATGCTACCATGGGCACAACCAAAGAGCTGGAAAAAGACAAAATTGTGGACCTCCACAAGGCTGGAAAGGCTTACGGCACACTGATTCCACTTATAAACTTTATTAACTTTATTAATGAAACATAACTGTGAGGTAATTATGACTGCACACCGGCCTCTACTGTTCCACGGCAGTGCTCGTGTCATTAAGGAACATTTTCATATCTACTTGCAAACACACGGTTCAGCGCCGTATAAAACAGGTATGGAAGCAAGTTTTCAGAGCTGCCTTGGTGACTCTTATGTGTTTATTTGATGCAAATAAATGTTTTTAAAAGAAGAAAACAAAATTAGTATTTTTTTTGTCTGTTGTGCAACAAATTTCTGTAAAACCACTGACGGTGGTTCCTTACTTCCTTTTTACAGTTTTTACTTATGTACAACAACAAAACCTCCTGAAATTCCGGTTTTCCTAAAACCTTTAGGTTTTAGTGTGGTACCGCTAATCTCTGGTGTGAAAAATAATTCTACAGGTGTAAAGATGTTAGAAATAAATACAACTCACTATTAAATGAATTTGTTTTTTATTTGAATGTGCTTACATTTGTATAAAGGCTTAACATGCATTTTCTACTTTTACTTTTAAATTTAAAGAAAATCTAAACAACTGTTATAAATTCCTCACTTTAGTTATAATTGATTTCTAATTTAATAACATGTTTTTTAAATATTAGGGTCACCCTATTAGACTAAAAGAATGTTTGTTTATAAAGATGGGGCATTTTTAAAAATGTAAAAACATACATTTTATGTTCGTTTTAAGTCTGTTTCTTATAATCAGAAACTCCTTTGGCCGTTAATCTCTCTCTCACACACACAAAGAAAATACATCAGTATAAACATCCATCCATTTTCTGAACCCGCTTGTCCACGTAGGGTCGCGGGGGGGCTATCTCCTGCGGCCAATGGGCAATCAGACGGGGTACACCCTGGACAGAGAGCCAGTCTATCGCAGGTCAACACAGAGACACACAGGACAAACAATCATGCACACACACACACACCTGAGGACAATTTGGACAAACCAATCAACCTAACAGTCATGTTTTTGGACTGTGGGAGGAAGCCGGAGTACCCGGAGAGAACCCACGCATGCACAGGGAGAACATGCAAACTCCATGCAGAAAGATCCCAGGCCGAGAAGTGAACCCAGGACCTTCTCGCTGCTACAGCTCTAACCACTGCACAGCATCAGTATAAACATGAAACAACAAATAAAATCCTCTCACCTGTGTGTCTGAATAATCACTGCAGCATCGCCAAACATCCAGAAGCACCTCTGTGCACCAGCTGACCGCAGCGCTGAGTCTGAGTCACTTATCAGGTAGGAGAGGCATAACTCACACATGCAAAGTAAAAAAAAAAAAAAAAAGGCACAAAAGTGACTCTAATTTTACTTTCAAAACAAACACCTTCCTGTTGATAGTGTGATAAAACCATCAGTGTAGTCAGGAAGCAGAATTTTTCATCTCATTTCCATCTTTAGGAAACACGACATTCACAAAGATAAGTGAAATAACTCCAGTTACACCTTCACTTAGATCTACTCTGCAGTCTAAATATGCTGTGGGAAAAACACATCCGGGTACTTCTGGTAACATGTTGATTCACATTCAAAATATCTAGGCAGAGCTGCACAATGGTGCAGTTGGTGAGAAGGTCACCGGTTCAAATCCCACCTGTGTGGAGTTGGCATGTTCTTTCCATGCATGCACAGGTTCTCAGGTTGACTGGAGACCCATCAGGGTGTCTCTCACATCTCGCCCGATGACTGATGGAGTTAGAGACCAGCTCCATGAGAACCCAGTGAGGACTGAGCAGTTTAGTAAACAGATTATTAGATGGTTGGGAATCAAATCTATGCATTTATGAAAAAAATATTACATCAGCAAGCTTAAAAAAGACATGCACCAAAGTATACGAGTCATTTTTTATGATGCTAGATGCTTGTCCGCTATTTGTTTCCCTCTATAATTTAAAGCTACCATAAAAAAGAATCTTACAGAGAAATAATCAAAAAACAGTCTCAGTCATGTTGGAAGGAAGGCTGCATTAATACAGATTCACTGCTCTGTGGGGTTGTCAGTTTTTCTCCTTTGAAAAAGGCCAAAGAGGGACATAGTCTTTGTTTACAATCTGTGAGCCCACGGTGTTGTCGAGTCCGTACCAGCTAATGCTGCTGCGCTGGCATTTATAATATGACACCAGTGGAGAAAACGCAGCAGTGTTTTGTAAAAAGCCTAAGTCAGTAAACAGGAGCGACCCAGAATTTTTTTTTATGCCCATAGGAAGCAACGGTATCCTTTCTGTTTTCCTCTGGGTGAAGAAGGATAGAGGCTAACATTCAGCTAACAATGCTAAAGAAAGCTACTTTTTCCATTACAAACAACTTGATATTACAGTGAAATGTATTTATCTACTTATCAACTTCCTGTTTATGACTCTTCTTCACTCGTAACCAAATTTGACCACAAGGTGTTATTCCTCCCTTATGCCACCTTTAAATGTTATGTTTAGTTTATATTTGAAGTTCAGTAAGTGAGTGAAACTGTGTTTTATTTACTTGTCTGAGGTTCTGTTGATGTTTAGAGTTCAATGTAAACAGCAGATCTAAAGAAATGTGTAGAGTTTCTCGCCTGGGCCACTAACGGAGAAATGACTGATTTTGGTGGTGAACAGTAAAAAGGACAAATTTGACTACTTTTCTCAAAAAGTCAACCCTAATATCACAGAATGCATGACTTGTCTTTTTTTTTTTTTGCAGATGTTACAGGATCAAAAACTGTGGTTTGAATGGAAGTCAATGGGAGGCACACGAGGGGAATGCTACACAAAATATAATGAAGCTAAAATGTTACACCAGCAGATGCAGACAGTAAAAATCCCTTTATAGTGATCATCTGTAGACATCAGATTAACTTCAGTTTTTTGTTACAAAGCATCCAGTAGTGTGACTGGAGTGTGTCTTCTACTTTAGAAGTAACTATAAGAAGCTCTCCTGATGTCATATGCAAGGATGAACCCAAAAACATTATTTACAAACACACCTGGTTTTAGGACTTTCCACAACAGTAAAGCGGATTTGCATGGACCTTTTCCTCTCCCCGTCACTCTCATGCAAACACCCACATGCAACAAAAACCTATTTGTTTCAAATTCACTATTCAGTTTGACAACATAAGAAGCACCGCTCAGTCTGCATGCATAAAGCAAATTAACGTTGCTCTAAACTTTCATCTCAGTTCTAAATTAACTTAGTCTTAGTTTGAGGACGCTTAGGTCCTTCAATGTCTGTAGCAAGATGCTGCAGACCTTCTACAAGTCTGTTGTTGAGAGTGTAATCTCTTCAGCCATCGTCTGTTGGGGTAGCAGCATCAGAAGCAGGGACCTAAAAGGCTCAACAGCGTAATAAAAAAGGCTGGTTCTGTTCTGGGGACGACTGTGGAACCACTGGAGGAGATAATGCAAAGAAGGATTCTCCAGAGAATCAAGAAACTGATGGACAACCCTGAGCTTTCTCTTCACAAGACTGTCTGACAACGGAAGAGTGTCTTCAGTCAGAGGGTTCTTCAGTTTCACTGCAACACTGACCGCTACTGGAGATCCTTCCTGCCAACAGCCATTGTAATATACAATAACTCTTTGATGACTTATTATTATTATTCTGAGCTACTACTACAGCAATCAATTTCCCTCTGGGATTAATAAAGTATTTTTGAATTGAATTATATTCATGTTGTTGCCATGTTTGGGTGGCATTACCACAGTTTAGATGTAGAGATGTAATAAATAATAAAAAGGTGCAGTGCCGTTAAACATAAAAATGTTTTTTTTTTAATGTTTTTATTGATTTTTTTTTGGGAAAACTTTAAGCTTCTCTGTTGGATTACAGACATGAGTCAATCTGTCGCTGTTTTTTTCACTCGGTATAGCTCCAGTAGTGATTTTCCACCAAACGTCAACAAGAAAAAGATTTTTTTTTGCTCTGCGGCTCCTAAAACCTCGTCTGGGTAACAAAATAGTGCAGTTTTTACAGGTATAAAAATAAAGCTCGTACAAAATACAAAAGCAGCTGACTGAAACAGGTGAGCACTGTAGAGGACGTGGAAAGGCCAGGACAATTTCCAGTCCTCATCACACCGATGTTTCATATTCTAGAGGAAGAAACTCGTCCGTCTCCTCCTGGGAGGGTTTATGTTGAGGGAAGCTCAGCCCGTTCCTCTCTTTGTGTGGTGGAGGCGCACTCTGAGCTGAGAACTAACACAAAGATCATGTTTACATATCTGCTGCACATTTTAATCATCAGTTTTGTTGTTGAAAAAATATTTTGTTCTGAGGATGAAATTTAGATTAAATAAACACTTTTTATGTAACTGCAAAACAAAATATAATGGAGTTAGTGATGAAAGGTTTATTGTAACTCACAGGCGGTCTCTGAGGAGTTACACAGCACAGCTTCTTTCTCATCCCCTCAGGTAGAAAACAAAAGAGTTTCTCTGATAATGGATAAATTGTTCCAGGTGTCACATCCTCTTCTTTCATCGGGCCTTGATTTAAGAAGAAGAACCATTTAAAGGCTGTAATTACAGCAACATGCTGGGTTGTGGAGGCCGTACCGGTGAGGAAGCTGATGATCAGTCCTGTTATTATGACTGTGAAGCAGCTGAACCCGCTGTACCACATGTAGGACAACAAATAGAACCTCTTCAGCCCAGAGGCTCGGCTGAAGACAAAACAGATGATCTGGGTGTGAGACGAGAGCAGCGCAGGCAGCACACGACCCTGATAGGGACTCACCTTGTGATATTGCTGAATGCTGTTGTGTTGTCTGACGCCAGGATGACTCGACAGCTGGGCGGCAGCGGTTCTGAACCGGAGCTACGAGTGACGATGCTCCCCACGCCGATCCAGAAAGCTACACCCAGACCTGCTCCCAGACCTGCTACTGCACCCTGAGATGGATGGAAAACAGCTGAACGTCCAATTCTGTTGTTGGATCGTTTTAGAACTCCTTTAGATATTTGATTTTTACATGTTTATTACCATTCAAACAAAGCATGATAGTTCAGACTCCGCTTATGCTAATTACCTATTAAAGCAGGTCTGAACTAGCTTAGACATCTAGACAATCCGTAGCAAAAAGGTTTTGCTCTGCAGGTCGGTCTAGCCATGCTCTATTGCGCGGGGGGGGGGGGGGGGGGGGGGGCTTAGTCCCAGAGCTACGACAGAGAAAGACTACCAAGATGGCGTCAACTTTGGATGATTTAGACTTGGGCTTTTCTTTGGGACAAAAGCAGATGGAGGATGTTTTTGCTGCTTCCTCTTCGACAGTGTATGACTGCTGCGTTGACGGACCTCCATAGTGGTGACGATGTCACGTTGTCGGTTGCTCTGATTGGTCCTAGCGCTGTCCAGTTGCATGCAGAGAGGGTTTGAAAGACAGTTGTAGCTTTTCGCTCCACAACCGAGGGACAACAACCTACTTTCTGAGGGGTATGCAGACATGACCTTGATCTTCCATCACTTATGGGCTCTGTGTAGACTATTTACTCACTCACTATTAATTATGAAAATTATATAGGCGTATAACAGGTCCCTACAGTCCTTTGGGTGTCTAAAGATTTTGTTGTTGACAGTAGCTCACCGACAGGTAAAATCCTCTCATCAAACAGCTTTTAGGTGATCAACAGAGTGTCGCTCCTAAACACCGACCTCGGAGCGGCCCGCCGGTAATTTCCCAGTCGGTCCTGTTTACGCCCGTTAGACGGGAGCTGCACATCACATTTACTCTCGTTGTGACACCAGAGCTTGGCTCCATATTGGTGCTCATTAGTGCGACCGGATTCTAGAGCATTTTCCGGAATAAACAAACAACTTAGTAGATCTGTGGTGCCTCCATACCTCCAACCGCACTCCAGCATGTGTCAGAGGGAGCTGGAGCGCTGAGGCTAGTTACTAAAGTGCTTCTGTTATTAATTATATCATTTGCAGCCAACAGCCAAATATAGATCTGTTATTAAACACTGGGAATACTGACTAAAACTAGCCTGGCAAGCCAACGCTCCATTGACGGCTCGGTTGTGGGGCGGGTTCTACCGTTGTCTTTCAAATGATCTCCACATTCCACTGGACAATGAATGTGACATACTCTTGTTACACTCTGTTGCATCATCCCACCCACCAGACATATAGAGTGCCCTGATTGGCCCACAAAGCGGATAAAGCTCTGTGATTTGTTCACTAAGCAGATAGAGCACTATGATTGGCCCACCATTATGGACCAATCACAGCTCTTTATGTGTTTGAAACCCCTCTAGAGAGCTGTGATTGGCCAGCCAGAATGCTGTTGGGGCTGCAGAGGTTCCAGTGGAGCGTTGCTAGACCGAACTTTGCAAAGCAAGAATTTGGTCTAGTTCACTAGGCTAGACTAAAACTCTTTTTTCCATCACCGCTGTGGCGCCCCCTCCCCTATCCGTTGCATACAGTGCATCCCCACTTTTTCCACCACTGGTCGTGGTTTACACAAATGCCTATTCCTAGCCCCCATGAGCCCTTGCGTTACATGGGGGAATTCCTCACCATTTGCAAGTGAAAAAGACACGTATTTAATTATTCAAACATATTAACTGAGCAATTTTTGAAACTTTGATGCAAATCTGTCAGTTTAATGATTTTTGGCTCATACAGAAAAACATCTTAGAAAAAGTCAAGCCATTTTATCTCCCCAACCTCCAGCAGAAATCGGTTTTTAAGAACACTACTGAGTCTGAATTTACCTTTTAGCATTAAACTATATCACACTTTCCCACTTGTGTTTGTGTGAGGTGGTTCGGCTTCAACTTACGGTGGAGTTGGCACATGGGAAGAACATCCCCAGACAAAACAGACCAAGAATAGGACCACCAACCACTCCAAAGATTTTCAAAGCCACCTGGAGTTTAGACAAAGTTTCTTGCTAATAGAGACAGAAATGAGGATTATAATTGAACCAAACACCACGCGAGCTTACCTGTAACACCGAATCCCCCATCAGGTGAGTGAGATAAGCCATGGCAAGACAGATCAACCCATAGGACATAGCTTGTTGTGGAGAAACAGATAAAAACACTTTAGAACAAACTTCGGCTCCACCTCATCAGCTGGTGGGTTCTAACACAGGCTCACCTAAAGCTTTGGACACCAGGGTCGCTCTAGACTCGGACATGGAGGGGAAATGTGGTTTGATGAGATCTTCCATTGTCACAGTAGCCAGAGAGTTAAAAGCAGAGGAGATGGTGCTGAATTTAAATAAAAATGGAAACAATACACATAATATTTATTAACACCATTGTTTTATTTCTTCTTTACACTTCTCTGAGTAACCTTCTGATGACTTTTAGTGAATTACTGCAGTAAATTGTTATTATTTAACATGAGTGTTTTTTAATAGGTGAAAAAACACAAAGCATTTGGTAATCCTTTTGTTCAGATGAAAACACACCAGAGAGGCTGTGGTGCAGCTCTACAAAATAAAAGCCTCACTCTGAACATACAGAAAGTGAGACATTAGATTATACAGTATGACTGGTGTTTACACAAAAGGGTTTAAATGAAGGCAACTGGACTTCTTTGGTTTCTTGAAGATGTTTCACTTCTCATCCGAGGAGCTTTGCCAATTCTGACTGGAGACTCATATAAGCTGTAGCTGTCTACTGCTGTTTAACGAGCAGAAACTACTCTGAGTACCCCTCCACTCTACCCCGATGAGTTGTTATCCTCTATTTAGGGAGTTGCTGTGTTGATTAGGTGCAGGGCACAGAATATGATAATTAAATTTTTGTGTGATTATCAGTGTGATTTTATTTTTAATGTCTACAATGACTTTGTTATTATCATTATTATAACAGTTATTTTTATTCTTATTATAATGTTTGAAATAAATATTTCATTCATTCATTCAGGGCGTGTGATCGAGACTGAAACAGCTGAGGAATGAGATTCAAAGCTGCATTATAGGTACTAGAAAGACGAAACCTAAGCCCCCCTCCCCTATTTAAGTAGATTTTTCACATCCTACTTTAATCACAAATAATCACAAATGTGATTATTTACACAGTCCTATTTGGAATGATTTCAGTTTAGAGAAAGAGTTCAATTCTAACCAGACTGATGAGCTAACGGCTAGTCACAGTAAAGTCAAACCCAAAGTACATTTAAAACAACTCCAACATTATACATTTTAATTTATGCAAACATTTCTTTATAAACACTGACACTGTTTTCACTTTCAAAAAACAACTATTTACACACATTTCTGTTTTTTCAGGAGCTAAAGGCAGCAGCAGCTAGCTATAGCAACATCATGTTTCTGTCAAAACAACATCCAGCGCTGTAACGTGAAATTCAAGATGAAAGAGTCAACTTTGATCTTGGTCAAACTGACCGTTAGCCTGTCAATCTGGTCAGAACTACTTAATTTCTCCAAACTGAGGTTGTTCAAACAGTTTTCTAAAGGTAAAAATTAAGTTACCAAAATATTTTCTTCAGAACCACATTTAAAAGGTAGGAACTATCCCTTTAAAATCCTACAAGACTAGGCTTGAAACATTTTTATTTGATATGGCTTATGGTTAAAATCTGATGTTAGCCCAGATCTGGACAAGTGGGGGAGTAGAGGGAGGTGGAGTGTACAGTCGGTAAAGACGGCTCTCCCTTGCCCTGCCTCCAACATGTCTCCATCTAAAAGGCTAGGTTATCCAGCCTGACGTCCTGAAGAAGTGGGCTGAACTCTACACCAAAGGACTGCGGCCGTCTCTTCTCTTCCCTGCGAGGCTGCGCGTCACCCTCCCGGATGGGGAGAGACGGTGGTTGCGGTCCGTTTCCGCGGCAGCCGACCTCCTTCGGTCTATGGAGGGGGAACATAGTGCATCACCGTTATCCGGCTTGGACCTTCTGAACTTCTCAGGTACTATCGGGACTTCCAACAGCCACAGGCCGATTATATTGCATATAAATTTTAATAATCAATACCTGTTGAGAAAGGACCAGTGCGCGGTTTTGTTTCCATGTATTTGTTGGTAGTTCATTCCTAGATAAAATATCTCGTTGTATGTTTGACGCTCTATTTAGCCCTCAATTTTCAGCTGGGTGAAGAATAGTTGTTTATTTGTTGTGACGCAGGGAAAAGTTGGTTTAGTCTGAGAGTATATTTTTGGTATGCTGATGATGAGTAGGAGAATTACAGTGGTTGCTTTTGTTTTGCAACCTGTGTTGTTTTCAGTTTTTTTTTTGAAGGGGTGGGGGGTTCGTTTGAGACAGCTAATTTTCTTCTTAAAATGTATTTTACTTTCTTCATGTATGTTGTTTTTCTTCCCTTCCTTCCTTCCTCTTCCTTCCTCTTCCCTCTTCCGATCCACTCGGGTCTCTCCCAGCGGTGCTCCGGATTTTGGATAACTTTAGTACGTTCTCCGGCTATAAACTTAACTTGAATAAGAGCGAACAGTTTCCGATTAATAGGGAGGCCATCTGTCTCAATTATGAAAGTTTTACCTTAAAGGTTGTTACTAACCAATTGAAATACCTGGGGGGGGGGGGGGGGGGGGGGGTCACTAGGCATTTTTGTGACTTTTTCAAGAGTAACTTTCTTCCACTATTTGATCAAGTGAAGCAACTGCTATCTAAATGGTCCCCTTTAGTACTGTCTCTTACGGGCAGAATAAACTGTGAAAACGATGCTTCTCCCCAAATTTCTTTATCTCGTCCAGTGTCTTCCTATTATGATCCCTAAATCTTTTTGTAAATCTCCAGACTCCTTAATCCTCTCTTTTATCTGGAATGGCAAACATCCTAGGCTGAGAAAGGCCTTCCTCCAGCGGCCTTACCCAATTTCCAGCACCACTACTGGGCTGCGAACATTAGGAGTATGCTGCACTGGAGGCACTTTCATCTTGAATCTTTATCTCCAATCTGGGTCACCATGGAGGCCCCTGCAGTTGGTGCAACAGTCTCTCTTTCTGCACTCCTAGGTGCGCCACTTCCACTTTCCTGTTCTATCGCTTCCGGGAGCCCAGTGGTTAAGCAGTCCCTGAAAATCTTGTCTCAGTTCAGAAAAACTCGGGGTCTTCAGGCTCTTTCACTTTTAAGTCCAATTGCAGCTAACCAATTGTTCTCTCCATCAATGGCTGATGCTGCCTTTCTTTTTTGGCATAAAAAAGGTCTAAAACATTTCACAGACTCATATTCTGATGATCTCTTTTCTAGTTTTCCCCAGCTGACAACTAAATTTGGGATCGCGTCCACTCAATTTTTCAGGTTCTTGCAGGTCAGGCATTACGTGCAGAGTATGACGCCCCAATTTCCAAATAAACCCATTGGATGAGTTTTTATTGGTAAACCCCACAGTGGGAGGAGTAATGTCTAAGCGTTATAACTCTATCACTAAACGATGATGTCCTTCATTAGTGGCTATTAAAACTGCCTGGGAGCAGGACCTCAATTTTACAATCTCAGATGAGGTGTGGGCATCTATACTGGGCCAGGTGCACTCCTCATCTATGTGTGCTCGGCATGCACTAGTGCAATTTAAGGTGGTCCACCGTGTGCACCTGTCTAAGGCCAAGTTGGCACGTCTATACCCAAACATAGACCCAACTTGCAAAAAATGTAGGGGTGCTCCTGGCTCTTTACTACATATGTATTGGTCGTGCCCCTCCCTGGCTAACTTTTGGAGATCAGTTTCGGTACAATATCTGAAGTTCTGCAGTGTCAGGTGGAGCCAAACCCTGTCTCTGCTATATTTGGTGTCGCCCCAGATCTGACCTTATCACACTCCAAACTAAGAATCCTATCCTTTTTTACCTTACTGGCCAGAAGAGCTGTTTTGCTGAAGTTGAAGGACTCTTTTCCTCCCACTCATGCCCACTGGATAAGAGATGCAAGGATCTTAAAAAAATCAGATACACCGTCCGTGGTTCTGTAAACAAATTCTATAAAGCTTGGCAAACTTTTTTGACATTCGTCAAGAAATCCACAACTATTGTTTCTGAGTAGCCCCCCTTATTTATTTTTGTTTGTTTGTTTTTCTGTTTGTTTTTTCTCCTCTCTTCCATTCCTGTTCAGGGTTGGCTGCCTGGGGTTTGTTCTTGGGGTAAAACTTGAGAAAATTTACGTTGTTTTGAAATGTACTTGTCAGGTCTATTTTTCTAAAATAAAAAAGACATGTATAATAAAAAAAGGGAGTTTTCCTCTCCACAGTCGCTACATGCTTGCTTAGTATGAGGATTGCTGTATGCAATTTGCTGGGTTCCTTATATAGGAAACTTTTTTTCTGACTGGCTTAATAAACTGACCTGTATTGGAATGTTTATTATGTGAAGTGCCTTGAGACGACTCTTGTCGGGATTTGGCGCTATATAAATAAACTTGAATTGAATTGAATTATAAGATCCTGGATTATATGTTTTGCTTTTATTTGAACCGCTGAAGTTCATTTTGTGTTTAAATATTCAGTTATGATGTTACTTTTCATTCTGCAACAAATCTACTATGATTAACTCATCCTAACTAACTGTTAACCACAGCCTTGTGCCATGAATGATGAATTAGGTGTTGGATAATGATTAAACCCAACAGTAAAATCTTCCTGCTGCTGTTGAAGCAGCAAATGAAGTGATGGCTCAGTGACTCTGTGGAAACCCCCGTACCTGAGCGCTGCGCTGAACAGACAAGCAACAAACAGCCCGGGCAGCCCAGGCAGGTCCTGCAGCATGTCCATCACAAAGTATAGCACCATCTGTGCAAGAAAAATCACCATGACAACTTCCAGGTTGATTCAGTTTCATTTGCATAACCCCCATTTCGCCACGTGAGCCAAATCGTAAATCTGACAATGTCACCTTTATGTGAATAAACAGACCCCACTTTTATATAACAAGTCTAACGTGCAGCAGAGAAAAAGGACAGTAAAGCATGCAAATGCTGGAGCTGATGTAGTTTAGGTGCTCAGAGGAGCTAGCATGAACCTTTTTAGACGAGAAACAGCGACATCTTTGTGTGCATCTTAGACTTACTGCATCTGTAGAAGAGCTGCCCAGTTGCTCAGAGCGGTCCTCTCCACAGTATCGGGCAAACATGACCAGACCCATGATGCAGCTTAGAGCCAGAGCCAGCTGCAGGGAAGGAAACACCATGTAGCACGACCTGCATGACACACGGCCACCAGTAAGGTCACCGATGTTTCTAAAATCTACTTCTGATGGAGTCGATTCAAGGTTTTTCCTGCGTTAAAATTTGCGTGGCGGCCGCCCCAGCCTGATTTCACTCTGCCCCCAGCTATATGGATGTTATTTTAACTGCAGATGCAGCATTGCGCCACTATAGGGGCGCTGTATCAGCAGCAGCGCACCGAAAAGCACTAAAACCGCTGCAGAAACAGATCAAAAATTGCTTTTCTCGCTAGTTGGTATATATGGTTGGTGCTATTGTAGGCTGACCATACGTCCTCTTTCCCCTGGACATGTCCACTTTTCACTCGCTGTCCAGGGCGTCCGGGTGGGGGTGGGGTGGGAGGTTCCTACTTTGATCAAAATGTCCAGTTTTTCATCCAGGAGCAGGGATCTGGGGGCTAGATATCTTTCAGGGACAGATCCAGTTTCTGCCTACATTACGCTGATCGTAGGTGCGCCAGCTGCGTCCGGCGCACGATACATTCTCAAGGTGGTGCAACAAAACATTATCATTAACACATGATCGACCATATCTGCTTAAATCCTCTGGTACTCTGTCTTTTAATCGTTCCTGACGCGCTCAGCTCATCCTGTGCTGCGGTGATTTCACTTCACTGACGCAGCATCGAAACGCGCTCTCGGCTTTGCGGTCAGGAGATCCCTTTGATCAAACTGTTTAAAAGTTAAATGTAGGTAGATTCATCTCCACTACACGTTTTTACTTGTATAAAACAATAAGTTATACATATGTAATATTTATACATCTGATACGATTCAGATCACCTTCGAAACTCAGTCACACACCCAGGGCCGTTTCAAGGCATTTTGGGGGCCAGGGCAAAACGGAACCCCCCCCCAACCCTAACCCATACATAATAGACATGCCACCATTACATTGTTAGCCGCAGAAATTAAATGTTGTTACCATTTCCAATACAAATGGATGTTAATGAAATGCATTATATTTTATTGGATATATTTATGTGTTATTTTGACTAAGATGAGTGTTATTAATACAAACCTAAAATGTTACTGAAATGTAGGTCAAATTAACTATAAATATCAGATGTGAAAAAGGGAACTAAGCACCAATCTAATGCATCTTATTGAGCCTTTTATAATATTAAGCCTTTAAAAAAGTGAGGCAGTTGAATGCAGAGTACACATGTGCTGGCGCATGGTCAGGATGGTACCACCTCTGCCTCAGTTTGAGCTAGGAAAAACCCTGCGATTAAATAAAAACTGTAGGCTGAGGAGGTCTGAATTTAAGTTTTCAACATGCAGGAGATATTGGAGAAAAACTGGGAATCACTAAAGTCTCAGCATGTTTACTAAACAGTGTCTGTCAGCGCCCTCTAGTGTACCATCAGTGCCCATCTAAGACAACATACCTGACAGCCTGCCTCTCGGTGCGGGCGCTGAGGTACCGCTGCACCTGAGCCTGGTTCACTCCATACAGGGACAGCATGAGGAAAACCCCGCCCACCCCCAGAGTCCAGAAGGTGTGTCTCTCTGTGGGATCTGGGTTCAGGCTAGAGACAGGAGAGAAGATGGTTCAGAGTGGAGATGCTGAGGCTGACTCGACAGCTTTCCTTCAGCCTGTTGCTCTGTAGATGCATTCAGAAACATGTGGTTCTTTATAAATGAAACAAGAAGTCTTCCTTCCGCGCGACGCTTCTGTTTCTAGTTTTTGTGGAAGCTGATTCAAACAGAAATAGACAAATAGGATTCATCCATCATCAAACATGTCAACAGTGTCAAATTTATCTCAGAGGAACCCAAAACGGCTTCGGTGTTCCCTCTACTCACTCCACACCAGAGATGCGGTTTCCCTCCAACACTTTCCTCCAGACTTCTGACACTCCCCCAGTCCTCTGCACTCCCACCACGATGACCGCCAGCTGGCCTGCAAACATCACGACCGTCTGAAACACGTCAGTCCAGATGACGGCCTTCAGCCCGCCCTGCAAATGGCAGATCACCATGAGAAGTTCTGGTCCTGCTTGTTACACGTTGAAAGTCTTCAGCATCCTGATCTTGTGGAGCCTGACTATGTCACCATGGCAACATGTGTTAACTTAGTCACTGATTCTTTTCTTAAAGAGCAAGTCCCCCCAAATGAATTTTTTTTGCTGATAAACTATATAAACGAGTGTCTAATCGTGCTGCAGACACGTGTAGTCAATAATTGGGCACGTAAGTGCATCTTTGTTGAAATTTAAATATTCTGCCTAAAACTGGCAGTGTTGCGCCGTTGTCAGGTAAAAACTCTGTACTGTATTTAAATTTAAATCTGCCACCGCTATTGGCTAAGAGGTATGCTATGATGTAAACTGGTACATTATGATGTCACAATTAGGGCTGTAGCGAAGCCTCGACGAAGTCGACGGCTCGATTCTAAAAATTTGTCGACGTCAGATCCAGAAGTCGACGCACCGCGCCCACTTGTTGCATCCCCAGGAGTTTGTAAATAAAGGAGGAATCTGCCTGTTTTTCCTCTAGTTCGCCCTCTTCTCCGCCTTCACTAACATCTCCGCCAAATACCGAAGACCCGGAACAATGTCCGTCCACTACTAGATTCCTTTCCTGTTTTGCCCGCCTTCGTCTCCCGGCAACGGACAACAACTTCCGGGGTCAGATGCGCAGCTCCGTCTCTACCGCAGATGTAGAACATCACCGGGAGCGCTTCTCCCTTCATAAAGGAGCTTCTTTCAGACATGAGGAGAGCTGTTTTGGTGGTAGCAGTCTCTCCTCTGTGCTGGTCTGTTTGCTGCTGGGTGTTTTTGGTTTATTTAAACTTGGTAACTTGAACTTAACATTGGTAAAGCTACTGTTAGCATCTTCGCTAACAGCTTCTTGCGTTGGGATAAGCTGTTACGTTTTGGTTTAGAGTTCATCTTTTTTGTGGTGTAGATCTCCCTTTTATTACATTTAGAGTGTTGTGGGTTTTCGGTTTAGTGTAAAATATCACCTGAGTTTGGTTTAACCCGTAACACCACTCGCCTCACGCACATAAGTGACCAAAACAAAGCAGCATGGAGACACTCCATCGTCTACCACCTCTCAGGCAGCAGCCTGCACTCCCAAGTTCTACACGTCACCAGAACATAACCAACCAACACAATAAAAGCAGTGTTATACAAAATGGAAGGCCTGTAGTGTTTATTCTCTTACAGTAAGAATTTATCAATTTTTTTGAGGAATTTATTTGAGATTTTCTGGTTTTTGTTAATTGTGCAATAGAAAAATAATCGTTAGATTAATTTTCTAAATAGTCATTAGAATAGTCGACTATTCGATAAAATAATCGTCAGAATAATCGTTTTAAAAATAATCGTTTACCCCCAGCCCTAGTCACAATGCTGTCGTGAGCCTGAGTGTGTGTGTATTTGTTAGCAGCTCCGCCCTCTCGGTCTGCCAAGCAACAGCATTTGTTGCATTTTTCAAACATGAAGTGGGAGTGGAGTTAGACTCTGGTAGGGGTTGACTTGCTCTTTAAAGAGCAAGTCCCCCCCAAATGTACTTTTTTGCTGATAAACTATATAAACGAGTGTCTAATCGTGCTGCAGACACATGTAGTCAATAATTGGGCACGTAAGTGCATCTTTGTTGAAATTTAAATATTCTGCCTAAAACTGCCAGTGTTGCGCCGTCGTCAGGTAAAAACTCTGCACAGCATTTGAATTTAAATCTGCCATCCCTATTAGCTAAGAGGCACACTATGAAATTACCTGGTACATTATGATGTCACAATGTCGTTGTGAGCCTGCGTGTATTTGTTAGCGGCTCCACCCTCTCGGTCTGCCTGGCAACAGCATTTGTTGCATTTTTCAAACATGAAGTGGGAGTGGAGTAAAACTCTGGTAGGGGGTGACTTGCTCTTTAAGAATCTAAAATCAGCCGTTTAAGCTCTGCTAAAACACAACTCACTATTGTCGTGTACAGCATGCACACCAGCCCAGTCGCCAACACCGCTCCCCATAATTCAAATCCAGTAACTGAAAAAAAAAATAAAATAAAAACACAATGAAGGTCAAACTAACCTTAATGAGCTGAATCAAAACAGATTAACTCTTCGTACCTGCGTTCAGGGCAAAGGCAGGTGTGTACACACAGACGCCCATGTAGACGACCTTAAACCAGGTAAACGTGACACCAATCAGAAAAGAAAACATGGATTTGTGTTTGGAGCGTCTGAATCAACCCACCATCTGGAAAATGAAGGTCAAAGTTCCACAGATTCGAACGGTTTTGCTGAAACGCAGTTCAAGATACTGTGGATCAAAACAACAGGTGAGCACAGAGTCCATCTACCGGCTGCATTCATTCATTCACCCATTCATTCATTCATTCATTCATTCATTCATCAGTCTCGCCATACCTGGTAAGCACTGGTGAGATGCAGCCTATACAGCACTGGGATGAACACATGAGCAGGAATCAGAAGTCCTAGAATGTACGCGCAGCCGATAAACCAGTACTGAGTGCCGTGGGCGTAGATCTCAGCCGGGACGCCGATGATCGCCACGGCCGACTGGAAGGAGGCGATGAGGGACAGCGAGACAGGAAGGCAGTGCATGCTTCTGTCTGCCATCAGGAACTCCTGCGTGGTGCGCTGCCGACCGCCGGACAGCGCGTAGTACAGCCCGATGGCCACGGAGGCAGCGAGCAGCAGCGCGAATATCACATAGTCCACAACCGCGAAGTGCTTGTACTGGGCCGGGTTCATTCTGGAGAAGGTTCTTTTCTCCCGTGGGTGTACGCTCACACAAACAGGAAATGTGTCTCTTCATTCCCACCAGCTACGATTCCAGCAGCCTGAAGGAGATTCAGAAAGGAGAATTCGTAATGCCCGAATGAAAGCTTCACGTTTAATTTTGATTATTAACATAACTTCAGCGCAGCTCTAAACAAGCAGTCTCTTTCATGCTGGACTTTACACTTAGCAACGCAGAAGAAAACCTCCTGACTGTGACCTGTGAGCCAGATCACCTTTGTTCATGCTGGTCCGCAAACACGATGACGGTTTCAGCAATGTGAAGTCTAGCCGGGACGTCTCCACGACGATAATCTCCAGGAATGCTGAAGGTCACAAGGTACACACTCAGCTAACACTCCTCAGGGTGAAAGGGGAGGATTCATGAAGACTGTTTTATTAAGAAGCTATAGCTCATCTGCTGATAAACTAAGAGAATGTTGAAGCGTTTCTTTAGAGATGCAACAGAAAAATCTTCTGGTGACCAGAAAAGGAGTCAGTGATGATCAGGAGCTCACCCACTCATCCCCTAAACCCACTTCATCCTCAGTAGGGTCACAGGGAGCTGGTGTCCATCTCCAGCAGTCATCAGATGAGAGGTTGGAGACGCCCTGGACAGGTCTCCAATCTAACACAGAAACACAGAGACAAGCAACCAGTCACACCCAGGGATGATTTAGATTCACTGATTAACTTCAAATGCATGTTTTTGGTCTGTGGGAAGAAAACTCCACGCATGCATGGAGAGAACACGCCACCTGCACGACAAAAAGCTGCAGCTGGGATTTGATCCAGCAACTTTCTTACAGGCAGGCAACAGAGCTACCAGCTGCCCCACCACAGAGCTCAAAAAGCTGATTTCTTCTGAACAGCTGAAGGCCATCACAAACAAAAACTATATTATTCTGTTATTTTTTACTTGTAACAATGATTTTTCCGATAATTTTCCAAGTTCACAAATTCAACATATAAAACATCTTCTATGTGGAAATTTTACTTTCATAATCATAAAAATGCATTTGAATTTAGTTAATTATGTTTTTTTTTATATACAGATGAGCTCAAATCAGAATATCAGGTTAGAGCTGTACGGGTCTGAGAAAATGCCTACAAAACATGAATCAGTGCATCTCTACTATGTGTTGTTGCAGAAACTGGAAATATAGACAGGCCTTATAGACCTAAATATAAAGACATATAAAAATATCAAAGGGGAAAAGTCTTTTTTGTATAAAAATAACCCTAATTTGGGTACTTAATTATTTTTACAGTTGTAATTAATCTATTTAGTTGAAATCAATGTAATATTTATATTTACAAATACAGCAAAGTCATAGCTACCTTTGTAGCTACATTTTTGCCATTCTCCATTTCCCAGAATGCACTCTGTGTGTCAAATCTGACAGGACCCATGACGCCATGAGTAGAACAAAGCATTAAATCAAGTTTGTCGGTGTAAACCTATATTTATGTTGATGGTGTAAACAGATTCTAAAAACCAGAACTCACCTGTGTGTGTTTAGGGGGGCAGGACTGAGAGGATTAAAACACGCGGTAAAAGGCTGGTTAAGACACGTGTAAGCCCTCCAATAGGTAACTTAATAATTCCTTTCAGCAGAGCAGGAGTCAGACTTTGTAGAAGGGTAACTTCCGTGTTTTATCTCCAAAGGCTGTGTTCATAACACGTTAGCTCACCTATCACCTACTAACCTAACCCACGCGAGCGCAAACCATAGCTATTTTCTTCCGCTTTGGGGTTAGGCAAGCCAATTTGACATATAATAAAACAGCCAGCATTTTTCATAAAATAAATTTCCCCGTGTTGCTGTAGCTGTCTAAAGCCCTTTCTTCCACAAAAACGAAAACTCAAATAACATCATTCCCAGTATATTGAATTATTTTTAAAAAACAATTTGAAGTTGTTACTCACAAAATACAGTTTTATATTAATGAACCGTCATCTTAAAAATTCTGTGTGAACTTGTCTTTGCTACAAATAACTATATTTGCAAACATTTATTAAAATTGTTTTTGACATTTCAACAGGTACAAATATCGTCTGAAATGTCCTTTTCCACATTCTTATAAAGAAAAGACTTTTTAACAAAGAATCAGTCAGAACAAACAACATATCTGTTTAGTAAACACCTGGAATTTTGTACACTTTTGTCCAATTCAAAATCTAGTGAACCAGTTACTAGATGCCTTCGAGGGATTTTACATCCAAAAGGTCAAATAAAATAAATATATTTAGTTATAAAATATCTACCAGCAAACGTTTGTAATTTTCTAATCAAACATGCCAGATATATTACTAATAGTCATTAGTTTAAGACCGATAAATACCCGACTAATAAACACACACACACCTTTTCAAAAATACACACATTTTTATTCTAAACAGGAAAAGCATTAATATAATTTGATTTCGCAATGAATGTATGGACTACTTTAATGTGAATTAAACACAACAAGTAACCGCTGTTTCTTAGCGGGAGGGATTTAATTTAAGACGTCTTCAATATCCAGTTTTGTTGTTTTTAAAGATTTAGACATCTAAAACCTAGCTTTTTTTCTACCTTGATATCCAACATTTTACAAGTAGAAATAGAATTAAAGCTGCAAGCAGCGTCGTTCGGCCCTCGCAGCTCCGCGCCGCTCCGGCCTGGCCGACAGCCCGGGGCACCAGGGCACGTCTGGCAGAACAGAAACGTCAACCGCCCCGACACTAGAAACCGCAAATGGCCTCCTAGTCCGCACCTCACCCTTACTCAGCATCCCCTCTGAGCTCACCATTAAATTGAATTGTAAGGGTGCGGCGTTACGCCAGAATTCGCAATGGCATCAAAGCCCTTCCCTTTCTGGAAAGCTATCAGATCTGAATGGTCAATACAGCATCATGAAGACAGTGCATGACCTTGGTGTCTTGTTGACTAAATTAGAGGGGACAAATATGGGCATTTCAGCATAAAAAAATAGACTTACTGTGGTCAGGGGGCGGGGCTTAGGTGATGTCAGCTGTCCACATTGTCATTTTTTACAGATATGGTCAATGATCACACAGACAAAGTTTGAAAAAGATCTGATCTTGCACATGGGAGTTATTAAGTCAAGTAAAGTAATGGCGAAAGGTCAAAGTTTGAGACTTAGCCACGCCCACACCTTTCAACTTTTGAAAAATGCGACGGTTGAATTTTTTCCCCTACGTCTTAAGAGTATATAGTAGAAGTTTGAAAGTGATTGGTGAAAAGGGCGACGGAGCATCACTCTCCAAACAACGTGTGCGAAAACCACTAAATCGCGTACTTGGACCAAAATGGCTGACTTCCTGTGCGACTTTACGCTTGGCTCCAAGAGACTTTTTTGTAGGTCCTGAGACCCCACATTAGTGTACCAAATTTCGTAATCTTCAGTCAAAGCATGGCTTGGGGCTATTAGTTTAAATGGTCCTAGGGGGCGCTATTTAAGAAAATAGGCCACGCCCACAAATTTCAGCTATGTTTGTCTCTTGGGGGTCAGACAAGGATCACTTACAAGAAGTTTCGTAGCGCTATCACAATAACTGAAGAAATGAGAGGCAAACGTATTTCCATGGCGTGATGGTGATTTTCGCCATGCTGCCAAAGCCCCGCCTTTACTCGAAACCTGCCAGTACTGGATACCAAGTGACCTCAAGTTGTCTACTGCTATTTGCCAGAGATTATTGGTGATTGGGTAAAAGGAGTCCAATAGGAAGCTGTGAAAAAAAGAGTGGCGTGGCGAAAGGTCAAAGTTTGAGGCTTAGCCACGCCCACACCTTTCAACTTTTGAAAAATCCGACGGTTGAATTTTTTCCCCGATGACTTAAGAGCATATGGCAGAAGTTTGAAGGAGATTGGTGAAAAGGACGACGGAGCATCACTCTCCAAACAACGTGTGCGAAAACCACTAAATCGCGTACTTGGACCAAAATGGCCGACTTCCTGTACGACTTTGCACTTGGGTCCAAGAGACTTTTTTGTAGGTCCTGAGACACCACATTAGTGTACCAAATTTCGTAATCCTCAGTCAAAGCATGGCTTGGGGCTGACAGTTTTAATGGTCCTAGGGGGCGCTATTTCAGAAAATAGGCCACGCCCACCGGATGTTCACATCAGTTCTTTTGAGGGGCCGGACTAGGATCACTCACAAGAAGTTTCGTGACGATATTTTTAGAAATGACGAAATGGGAGGCAAACGTAAGGCCACGGCGGTACGCCTGACTTCGCCGCGCCGCCACAGCCCCGCCCTCTGTCGAAAACTCTCATAAAGTGACGCCAAGCAACCCCCACTTGTCTTGAGTTAACAGTTACAAATTTGTGGGGATTGAGTGAAATGGGGCCATTTGGGACCTTTCATAGTAAAACTTGACCTTTTTGGTCCTGAGGGGGCGGGGCTTGTGTGATGTCATCATCCGACCATTCATTTTACTTTGTGGGAGGATGACAAATGACCACAGAAAGTTTGGTAACTCTATTCCATTCAATTATGAAGTTATAGCAGTTTTAATTTTTTTGGCGAGTAGTCAAACTTCGAGGCCTGGCCCCGCCCCTTCAGCATATACGAAAACTCAGAATCCTTGTCTCATTTTGTTCAGCCATTTCTTCTGAGCAATTTTATACCATTTTTGAGACGATCGTGCGAAAATTGATCGAGCAATCCAATCAGAGACTGACCCTAAAAACGGCAAAAACGGCCAAAAATCGCCATTTCATCCCAAAATGGCCGACTTCCTGTTTGATATTGACCATGCTTGCAAGAGACTTTTCTGTGCGGACTGTTGAGTACTACAAGTGTACCAAATTTCATAACTGTACGATAAACTAAGCTTTATGGAGAGGGGTTTTTTTCACTTTGTAGGGGGCGCTGTTCAGCCATTTTCTTTGCGATTTTTTTGGGACCTTTAAAATATCAAATTTTTCACCAGGCCTGACAATTGTGCAAAATATTGTGAGTTTTGGGGTATGTTAAGGTCCCCAAAAAGCCATTCATTTCGCGCACGGAATAATAAATAATAATAATAATAATCAGAGCAAAAACAAGAGGCCTTCGCAGCGCTTTCGCTGCTCGGGCCTAAATACTTTAATCTAATAGTAAATAAAAAGGAAAAATTATAAATGGGCGTGGTCTAATTATATGTTACAACGGCTTCCTATATTATGGCCGCTTCTGTTGCGCGCGCAGCAGCCGCGAAAGTTAAGTGTATTTACTTGTGTTATGGGCTTTGTTACCATCTAGTTACTTTTATGCGTTTTAAACCAAACAGAAATATTGAAGAAACATGGAGGGAGCGTCCACGAACGGTACGAACCAGCAAAGCTAACTCGCTAACAGCTAAGCATAGTTTGTGGCACTTATTGGCAACATTGATGTCGCCCGTGTAACAGAAGATTAAAGTATTATTTATTAATAATATTATCTTTATTACATCTAGGTGTTTTAAGTAAGCTGAGTCTGCTGGAAGTTGAAGCAAGGAGCCGCGGAATTCATCCTCAGCCGCAGCAGAGTCGTGTGAAGGAGCTGAAGGCTAAAGTTGAAGCACTGAAAGCTAAAAGAGATCAGCTAAAGGCAGAGCTACAAACACATAAGGTGTTTATTTTTTATACATAATGCATAAGGCATAAACACCTGTAGGACCTGGTTAGAACATCTAGTTTACATTTACAGCCATTTTTATAAACTAAAAGTTGACAAAACGTAAACAAAACAGGGTTTTTGGTACCTGAAGCTCAGTCAACCATCAAGTCCAGTTCCTCCCATTTATTATTATAAATCTACTTTCTTATTTTAAGAAAATAATCAAGAGCTTCCTGTTTGCTTTACTCATCGCTGCAGCTCCTCCAGAGACTGAGGCTATCTGAGGTCAACCACAGTGAGGAAGAGGACATGGATGAAGACTCGGAGAGCTCGCGTGTGCTGCGGCTGATGGCCAGACATTCTGAGCTGACGGATCTTCTTCGCGCTCACCGCCTCATCGGTAGCTGGTTTGCTTCCTCCTCTCTAGTATTTTACACACAGATGATCAAATTTCTGTCTAATCTCTTCTTCATTTGATTGGATGATCTAAAAAAGGTGGATATGAGGTTGTAAAGACTCATCAAGGTAAAGGAGTGTGCGTGTCTATAGCGACCGGGTACGAGGGCGTCTATTTAGACACGTATAACCTGGAGATGGACACAAATCCAAAGGTGAGGATCAGTCGACACAACATCCCCCCCTTCATCCCGCTGGACACACTCGCTGAGCAGAGCGACCTGCAGACGGGCATCAGGACGTTTCTGGACACTCTCAGCCAACATCTCAACGCGTACGTAGGTCGCAGGCAGCAGCTGAAGCTTATGAAGGTGCTGGACTTTGTTTATTCTATAAAATAATCCAGTTTAATTCTATAAGTAATAATCTATGGTAATAATCTGACGTCTTCTGCCTCGCCTTTAGGAGCAGCATAAGTCTGTGGAAGTGATGGAGAGCAACATTTTGTGTTCGATGCTGGTGCTGATGTTCACCATGCCAGAACAGGGGGCTGTCCTCTGCTTGTTAGACTACAAGGACCTCCGCAGATGTCTTCCGACTCAAGTCAAGTTGGATTGTGAAGGTAGAACGATTGTGTTCAATAATCTGGTTTTTCAGTGGAAAAAGTTTCCTCACAGATTTTTTTTTTCATTTTTGTCACACCTGAATGTTTCAGATCAGCTAAAAAAGAAATTCTAAATAATTTTTCAAAAATGCACTTTTTAAATAATTTCATTTATTATAGAAGACACATTATTCAAATCTGACTTTTGAATGTTTTTGTGTTGCCAGATGGGTCTCCGCTGCCTCTAGAAACAAGGGAAAAAAACATCTGTTTTCTGTACTTGGTTGCCTAAAATGAGCCATTTCAAAAAGGCCCTTATTGTGATGTCACAATCAGGGAAATGTTCTCGGCTGGCCTGAGAATGCTTTAGGATTTCCCCTGGAGAAGCTGGGGAGAGAAGTTTACTTCTTTACTTAAGTTGCTGCTCCCTTGGCCTGGCTGTGATGCTGTGTAAACCTAATGGTAACAATACCAGCAACACCACTTGGAAGATGATGGGGCGGGGGGATGAACAAATGAACAGATGATGTGAAGTGGACTGGTGCTCCCATGGTTGGGATGTTATTTAGAGCCTCAGACATTTGCAAGCTGTGGTCTCCATGACAGCAGGGGCTGAGAAACTTTGCATTCACTCTATAAAGAGTCATTTTAGCAACTACTGGCTCAATAACATGATTTAAAAATATGACAAAGGTGTGTGCCATTAAATGCACGTGTGGGGGGCATCTGGGTTTGACTCACTTGGATGTGACGCAGTCCTATAGCTAGAACTATAACGATGTTGGTAGAGAGAGCAGAAAGTGAACCGTAATCTCCGGTTTTACTGTGAGGAAACTCCCAGGTCCGGTCTAATAAAGTTATTAAACAAAAAAGATCCAGCCAATCAGGGGGTGGGTGGGCGTGGCCAGCTACAGCTCATCTCCCATCTAGTGAAAGAGCCCAGAAAAGACTCATTCTGGAAGGGAATGAAAAGGTGGAGAATAAAAGTGCTTTACGTGAGAGGGGTTCAGTGGAAAGAGCTTCATCTGTTTGTATCAACCATGAAAATGTCACAATATGTCTTCTTTAAAAGGGAAAGATGCTATCAAACCAACCGGGCCCTGTGCGAAAAGCAGAAGAAATTTTCTTTTCATATATTAAAACGGTTTATGTGATATTTTCTTTTTGCAGATGAGAAACTTCCAGACTCCCCGCAGTGGAAGAAAAGCTGCAGCCTCCTGCTGGAGCTTCCTGTCCACAGAGCGTTGACGGCCATGAAGAAAATGGGGACTATTGTTTAATATAATCGCCTCTTTCATGCTAAATAGTTTGGTTAAACTTTATAGTATGAGGTTCCTTAATGGTGTTTCTGCAGCTTTCCCTGCTGCCTTATTGACACCCTCTGATCTAGAGCTGTCTCTGTCCCTGTGTCCTCTCTGGCTGTCTGCTGTTGCCTCACCAGCTCCTTCTGCTATGGACCCAACATCTCCTATCAGAGGTGCAGATCCAGACTCTGACGTGTGTCTGTTGCTTCTAGTTCTTGTATTTATTTCATGGCAACATTCAGCATAGCTTTAGACCCGCAGAGTCTCATCATCACTCTTCTGTTCAGCCATCTCATCTCAGTCGACGCATCCTGTTGGAGCAGCGGTGCTGCCTGTGCAGCAGGTTTAGTCCTCGTGGTTCAGGACTCTCAGCACTCGTCCCCTATGGAACTGCTCCATTGTCCACAAGGACAAGAAATGGGAACACACCTGTGTTTTCCTCTTTTAAGTGAAGCCTTTCTTCTAAGATTAAATGTGTTTTGCCAGTTTTGAGGAAAGTGCAGACAAACGAGTGAGATTTGTTGTTAATGCTGCAATAAACCACATGCAAACCTCTGTCTCACCTGCTTTAGCATAAGGAAATTGCTTTACACCTTGTTCTAATGTTGCCCAGCAGGGGGCGCAATTGTACAGTTTACATATATTAAAATTATGCACAAATAAACAGAATGTGTGTGTTTTATCATGGGATTTGTGAGTACAAACAGACGCTTACCAGAAGGAGAAATTGTTTTCTTATTAAGTGCCTCAAGATAGAAATCACAAGAACAATGAAAAGATCATTTAAAAAAATGATACAAATAAAGAGAATTAGGAAAATGGGCAAATACAGTAAAGATTAAAATACTGGATTTACAGAAAAACCAGCTGAGCCAAATAAGCTTTACCCAAGCTGTGGGGGAAAAATGTTTCGTTATTTTCCTTTGTTGTGATGAAGCTTTTGGGCCTGATTATTTCCTCCTAATTTAGCCAAATCCTCATTCTGTTGGGTCAGATGATTAAAGTCTGATGAAAATCTCGCTTCATTTGCAGATTTGTTGATTTTCTCCCTAATGGAAAGTCGAGTTGGACCTGAAGTTTGATCAGAAGCTGCAGAAACTAGAAAAGATGAGTCTCGGGTTGAGTCTGGGCTGCCCCAAAGCAGCTTAATGATCAGCTCATGCATTTCCTCAATTCTTTATCAAACTATCACAGTCCTGCAGACACATGTAGAGAAGTGTAGGTCTTGGTGGTGTTGGGAAGCCTGCCCCTTCAGGAGACCGGTCCCTCCTGGCCCACAGATCCAGGATCAGAACTTCCTGAAGAGTCCCAGTCCTCTCCATGCTGATCGCCCCTCAGGCTGGTAAGTTCAGTTAAAACACCATTTGGTGTAAAGCACTTTTCATTATTAAATCTATATAATCTCACGGGTGCTACATGTCAATAATACACACGAATCAGTAACATGTTCGGTTTTAGCTCTTTAAAGATGCTCATAGCGTAAGTAAGTATTAGTAATCGTGGAAATTTAGAGTTGGCCCATTTAAAACAGATGCACTTCATTAAAGTCTGCAGTTTCCTGGTTTCTCTTCTGCTTTTCCATTCCTGCACCCTCCCGTGGCTCCATTTTCTTCTGCTGACCAGTTTAGTTTTTACCACAACGAGCTAGCTGTAGCTTTCTGCAGGGTACGGGAAGCCTTAAGGTCCAAAGGTCTCTTTTGGTAACTTTTTTGGTTTTTTTTTGTCTGCATATTTCCTTTAAACTACGTCCTTTATGTACGTAATTATTTTTATTAATTTTAGGAGTATTATTGTAATAACAGGTTAGATTTATAATCGTTTTTGACTGGTAATATTCCAAAAATATTTATGTTTTTAGTCATTAACGTGTTTAAAAATACACCAGTGTTTTACTAAAAATTCTTGAAATTAAATAGTGGTTTTGCCATTTTTTCAGTTCTTTCCATATTCCTTTAAACAGATTTGTATTTTTTATTTTTTTGCCATGACATCTTCTCTTTTTGTTGATAACAAGAATTAAACTCCACTGAGACGATCAAATGCATCCGATCCTTCAAACTGGAAGATTTTTACTCAGAAACACCTGTGAGGCAGTGAGTTTGTACCAGATTAATACATTTCTTCATGATCCTCCCTCGGGTTGACTTGCTGATCTTTGGGTTGCTGCATTTCTTAAAAGCACCAGCAGGAAAAGACGATGTTTTTGTCAATTTCAAAGCTAGTTTTCTCTTTGTTTTTCAGATTTGGCTTAAGCGTTGCTCTAGTTCTGGGGAAATGATGCAGGCGGTTTGCGTTGATGTACCTGGAGGACCAGAGAACCTGCTCCTGCGGGCTGTCCCCAGACCTCCACCTAAAGATGGAGAAGTCCTGATTAAAGTTAACGCTGCTGCTCTCAACAGGGCAGATTTACTGCAGGTACAGAATAATTAGATGGCTGAACTCTGCTGATGTAGGAAATCTCTATTTGACTGTGGAGTACACACAGCTGATAAAAATCTGATTTTTCTGCAGAGAAGAGGGCTGTACCCTCCGCCTCCAGGTGAAAGTGACATCATCGGCCTTGAGGTAGCTGGTACTGTGGACAGTCTGGGACCAGGACTGAAAAGGAACTGGAAGCTAGCTGACAGGGTGATGGCCTTGCTCAGTGGAGGGGGATATGCTGAATATGTGTCTGTACCTGAGGAGCTCCTAATGCCCATTCCCTCTAATCTCACGTTCAGCCAAGCTGCCGCCGTCCCAGAGGCCTGGCTTACAGCTTTCCAGCTGCTGGTTTTCATAGGTAGGAACTTGTCATCAGGCCTGTTTGTTTACGTCTGTTTTGGAGTCAGCCTGGTTCAAGTGTGTCTTCACTGCTAATTTACATTAACAACAACAACAACAACAACAAACAAACAAAAAACAGTTAAAATTTTGTTAGTCTTAGAGATGTCAAGCAAAACTTTTGCATCATAGTGGCTAAAAGTCATCTTATAGGAGCACAGCTGATCATATTTTTGTTCCAAATTGGGTTTTGGTTACAAGCGATCACAAAAACAATCAGTTCAACAACAACAAAAAAATGTATTAGAATAATTTTGTCACATTTACAAGCATTGTTTTGTTTTTCCTTGCCTCCAGCACGATGCATGCTTCCATCCATCTTTTACTGAAGGCTGAACTTGTGGCGTTTTTTTAAAGCATAAGTACTAAAAGAGATGGCAGAATGAGGGCAACACACACCGTGTAAACTTGACATGAGTCAAAAATGTGCCTCTACTATGTCAGTGGTGCAGTTCTATGTTAAATAATCATGATATCAATATTAACCTTTTTGTGTCTCTAATTGCTGTCACTGTCACAGCCAAGGTGAAAGAGGGTGAAGTGGTGCTGGTGCACGCTGCAGCCAGCGGGGTCGGAACGGCCGCCATTCAGCTGGTCCGTTTGCTCGGCGCTGTGCCCATCGTTACCGCGGGCAACCAGGAAAAGCTGCAGATGGCTGAGAAACTAGGTGCATCGGCTGGATTCAACTATAAGGAGGAGGACTTTGTGCAGGGAGTTCATGACTTCACTGGAGGTGAAGCTCACTATCACTAGTCTGTCGAACTTCACTATACATTCATTTCTATCTGAAGTTTTAACCCGTCCATTTCTTTTACTTGTTTAAAACTGCGTGTGCCACACTGAATACCACATTTTACTTTACAGAATGCATTTTTTAAATTTAAATCAACTCATTCATGTTCCACTTTTTGTGGATTTTAATAAATAATTTTAGCTTTCTGCTTTGATAATGCAACTGTCTGTATTTGAAATTTACTCAGGAAAAGGAGCAAATGTGATCCTTGACTGCATCGGTGGGTGTAACTGGGAGAAGAACGTCAACGTCTTGGCTGTGGACGGCAGATGGGTCCTGTACGGTACCATGGGGGGCAGGTCTGTAAACGGAGATCTGCTGGGCAAGCTGCTCTCCAAGCGAGGCCACTTGCTGGGCAGCCTCCTCCGCTCTCGCAGCCTTCAGGTGAGACTCCACAGCAGAAGTGCCTCAACACTTTCATGTGACTTACGTGAAGTAAGAATGCAACTATTTCAGCTTCCTCTTTTATGCTTCATGGCGTTCCAGGATGAGCCAATCAGGGACTTGCCGTTGACACAATTCCTGAATGTCCAAATCAACAACTGAGATATTTTTTTTCCCTTCACAGTACAAATCAGACCTGGTGGCAGCTTTTTCACAGAAGGTGTTGCCGTATTTCTCAGGGCAGCCTGCCCTCTTGAGGCCAGTGATTGACAGCACTTATAAGCTGCAGGACATTCAAGATGCTCACAGACACATGGAGGCCAACAGAAACATGGGAAAGATTGTTATTAATGTGATTCCACCGAGCGAAGAGGCTCGCTGATTAATGTTTGCATTCATGCGGAAGAAAATTTAGTCTTTAAAATGTATTTGATTGATGCCAAGATACCAATCAGTATTTTATGGTTGCTCAGAGATGTATATTCCACTAATAAAATGTTATTTTTCCACTCAGTAGTGAGGATTACCTTCTGCTTTGTGTTGTAAGTTGTATTAATGCTGCAAATTAAGGAAGACATCAGGAAAGCTATGCGTGCAAACAGTAAATTAACAATTTTTACAAATTATGAAATTATTTTTCGGTCAAATGTATTCCACTTTATGTATAACTCAACTTACAGGAAAAGTTGCAACATTCAGAAAATTATGTTACAGTCACAAAAGAGAAGAAAATCAAATGTAGGAACTGGAGGATTCAACAATTTCATAAAAATTTTACCTCTAAATCACCAGGATGAAGTGGCCAAAGGACAAGAACACTGGCTGAATAATCACTTAGCTCCAGGTCAGTGACATGGATGGTTGTGAAAGTGCAGAGCCAGTCTTAAAGGTGCAGTATTTAGAAATGAAGTAAGTAAACTTTATTTGTATAGCACCTTTCCCAGGCATAAGCCACAAAGTGCTTGACAACATTGTAAAAGTTTAAACAAAAAAGGAGACAATAAAAACTGAATAAAAACAATAAAATAAAAAACATATCATAAAAGGCCAAGGCCACGCAGAAAACATAACAGCCCTAAAATAACTAGACGAATGCCTGAACAAATGAGTCTTAAGCTCACTCTTGAACTTGTCAACAGAATCAATAGAACACAGAGTGAGGGGTAGATTATTCCAGAGCTTAGGAGCTACAGCTTCAAATGAGCGGTCACCTCTAGTGCGATAGTAAGTGCAAGGAACCTTAAGCAGATTAAGATCCCCACTCCTCAGAGCCTGCACAGGAGTGTTGGGTTGGATCAGTTCTCTAATGTAGGAGGGAGCTTGTCCATGCAGGGCTCTGAAAACCAGAACCAAAATCTTAAACTTGAACCTAAAAGATACAGGCAGCCAATGAAGTTCCTTTAGGATGGGGGATACGTGAAACCTCCTATTGGTGCGCGTCAGGATTCTTGCAGCAGAGTTCTGCACTAGTTGCAGACAATGGAGCTCCTTCTTGTTCAGACTAGAAAATAAACTATTACAATAGTCTAAAAGGGATGAAACAAAGGCATGAATGAGGAGCTCCAAATCATTTCTTGACACCACACGTTTAGGTTTCGAGATTTTCCTTAGTTGAAAAAAGCAGTTTCTCGTTAGCTGCTTACAGTGCTGCACAAAAGACCTTTCACTGTCTGTCAATCAATCAATCAATCAATCAATCAATCAATCAATCAATCAATCAATCAATCAATCAATCAATCCTTTATTAATCCCAAAGGGAAATTAGAGTTTCAGTACACACAATTCAGAGATCAGACATACATGGGCAAGACACATGACAAGAATTGGTGACTGTGGTCATTAGCAACCCGAGTCACGCTACCTTAATAGAGATAAGAGGGTAACATGAGGATTGGTTCAGGTGGAGGGGAAAAAAAGCACTTCAGAGTTACCCTCCATCGGGAGGGCAGCTTTCTTCTGCAAAAAAAACCCTCAACAAATATGCAACAGACTGCAGACAACACAACATGAGACTCCAAATAGGAAGGCGGGGGCTGGGATCCTGTTTCCCCCAGTGAGAGCAGCCATCTAAGGCGCTCATCTACTGTACAGTCACAGGTGGGAAGGAGATCTTGGGAGAAGCAAAGAGCACATTGACTCCTCCAGTTGATGACCTTGCCAGGCTGAAGTCTCCCAATCCGAAGGCGGGGGTAGGGGGGGCTAGGTCGGGTTTTCACAGCATCTGTATGCATTCCTTCGTGGGGGTTTTATTTGCTCGCCGCTCAAGGCTACCAGATTCAGATAAGAATTTGTTTGGGCCAGGCTGAGATAATTTCCCTCTCTGCCTTCAGTCTTTCAACTGATCATTTCCAGTCCTTCAGTAAAGCCCATTTTGGGTTTTAAACTTAAACTTGTCCATACCGTTCGGTGACTCTCTCCGAGATGACATCCATTTTGCGCACTAATACAAGAATCGCAGCTAGAACATTGTCCAGCTTACGATTCACTTCGAGTAACGTCCCAGTCGGAGAAGTCTCCATACGGACGGTGCTTTCCGTGGGTGCGGGTTGCCCTCCAATCGCTCCCGTCTTCCCAAATTTCCAGAAAACCAGATATCCTCACACTCCAATCAGGAGAAATCCAGTGATCATCAGACCAAATATCCACACGTCTTCGACGTCCTCGATGGACAGTTGGGAGAGGCATATGATCTTCCACTCCTTCCAGGAATCCAACATATATCCCACCGGGTGTGTCCCCTGTGGACATGTGGGAGCACCCTGCTCCGTTCTCATTGTTGAAAAAATCTTATCGATCGCATTGAATGACCAGTTTATCAAATCCATGGTTAGTAAAAAATAAAAAAAGAGTTTTTCAGAAGAAATGCAGAGAAGCGCTCTGTGGGCAGACAGGACAAAGAGCCTTGGGAAAAAAAGATAAGGGAGCGAAAGAGGGAAGCGTCTGTACTCCTCGAGTGCCTGAAGTGAAAAAAGATTAACTCCTAAATTTCTAAGGCTTAACTTCACAGATAGGCCCAAATCACCCAGGTACTGCTTTATCTCCAGGACAGAACCAACCGGGGTAACAACCAGAGTTTCTGTTTTGTTAGCATTTAGGTGCAGGGAATTTTCATTGAGCCATTTCTTTATCTCCACTAAACAATGGAGCAAAGAGTCTAACTTATTCAGCTCAGACTGCTTAAAAGAGCAGTATAGCTGAATGTCATCCGCAAATAGGTGGAATGAAACGTCACTAAACCTTTGAATGATCTTACCCAAAGGGGTCAAATACAAGAAAAGAACAGGACCCAGGCCTGAGCCTTGGGGCACTCCACTCAACAATTCTGCAGATTCTGACCTTACTTAGTTTGCTGTACCACTAAAGCTACGTCCTGATAAATAAGAGGAGAACCACTGAAGGACTGTCCCTGATAATTCAATTTGGTCCCTCAGTCTCATCAGCAGAACCTGATAATCAACTGTATTGAAGGCTGAAGAAATGTCCAAGAGAACCAGAACAGTGCGTTTTACAGAACCAGCAGCCATCATAATGTCACTGGACACTTTCAATAAAGCTGTTTCCGTAGAATGATGTTTACGGAAACCAGACTGAAATGGCTCAAGGATGTTACTTTGGTTGAGGAAGGTAGACATCTGTTCATAGACCACCTTCTCAAGAATCTTAGAAAGAATCAGAAGCTTGGAAATAGGTCTATAGTTGCTACGGTCAGTTGGGTCTAAACCTACTTTCTTCAGTTGTGGCTCCACAATGGCATGTTTAAGTGCATTGGGAAGCACAACAGTTGTTAGAGAGAGGTTGACCATTTTGGTAATACACGGGCCTATTACCTCAAACCCTTTTCCGAAGAGCCTACAAGGAATGACGTCGGATGAACAAGATGAAGGCTTCATCTTAGCCACTAGCACCGATATGTCAACAAGCGCCATAGTCTTGAAAGAGGACCACATACTAGAGGCGGGCTCAGTGCCAGGCGACGCCTCTTTCAGAAACGTTTTCCTAACAGGAAGTGTGGATGAAATAAGTCTCCACCCATGCCTTGACTCTCACTTTAAACAACTCTGGAGCTTTTTGCCGGCCGTTGTCAAATTACAATTGTCGGCGCTGCAGCATTAGCTTGCAGGATACACGGCAACCCCACACTCACTGATGGTAAACAGTAGTTACTGCACATTAACTCTGCACACGTCTAAACACCCCACGACGGTAATATTATTATTTTAAATAAAGATTTTTATTAAAATGTTCCATATTCCATTTTTATGTTTCCTTCCAAATGTCTGTTATTTTTTTATTTTTTGCATGTCAATGTTTATGTTCATATTTCCTTTACTAACTCAAACCACTAGGGGGCAACTGCAACATATTCGGCTTCCTATTTGTGAAGCAGTTCTGCTCTCCATTTCGTCGTATTTCAAACGTGCTGTTTGTTATAAAATCTTTTTTTTTCTCCAATGGAACATTTAATGTAACTTTATTTTACTTATTCAGCTTGTTTCCTCCCTGAATTATAATTATATTAGTTGACTCTGCTCACCAACCTGGTAAATATTGTTGACTTGTACATGTGTTTCTTTCTTCTCGTGAGTGTTTTAATTCATTTTTTGTCAGGACATTGCAATTATGGCTATTATAGTGGAAAGCGCAAAAACAGATTCTGAACTTCTGCTGATTAAATAAAAAAATGTTAAATGAGAGCTGATTTTGTAGTATTTTCTGATTAAAAGCTGTTTTTCAGTTTAATCTGATTTTGGAAAAAGTAGAACATTTATTTTTCTCTATTCCTGATTCAGTAATGGGGCTTGGCAGAAAGGTCTGGCAGGCCGGGTGTGGCCCACTGACCGTCAGTTGGTATGTAGTTTATGTATATCTTCATACAAACATGATTAACTTTCAAAACTTAAACAAAAACGTAATGAGTGAAAAGGGATTTGGCTGAAGTGAAAACACTTATCTAAAGCCAAACCTTATTACTAAATACAACTTAAAGCGCCAAGTGGACAACAATTTCTAGTTGGCAAAGAACAAAATAATTAGTAGCAAATATTTAAAAAGTTAATTCACAGTAACTACATATAACTACATTTCGTCAGCAGATTTGGTTGGTATTGATTAATTATGTCAAAAGACAAGTTATACTGAACACAAGTGAGTTTAAATGTAGTTTAGTTTGAGTGTTGCATGCTAATTACATTACTTTGACTGATGTTCACTGCAAGTTTATTTGATAAATAAAATATCTAGACGTAATTCAAATGATTTAGCTAAAATAAAAAATGTCTATATGAAATAGGAATCACAGAAGTCTGATTACGAACTAAATGTTAAAACGGCTTGCTATAAGCGCCTCGCTCTTTGACTGTAGAAAGAGGTGTGTGTGTGTGTGTGTGTGTGTGTGTGTGTGTGTGTGTGTGTGTGTTTTACCCAGAATTCCTGTGTTTGTTAATCTTCCGGGTCCGTATAGATTATTATATTAATCTCATAATCTCTCTTTCGCTTTATGGAATAAACTTTAAGTGGCGGGTCTGGTCCTCGTATGTTTCTACGGGACACAAACACTTTAAACAGCCTGCCGGTGAGTGAATGATCTTCATCCTGTTCTGTTAACACTACCTGTTCACTGTCGAGGGTAAACTGGAGTAAATCTCTGAGTCCGAATCGGTTTTTTAACTTTAAACTAGTTACACGACATAAAACATTGTTATGAAATGGCGTTTTCTGCCTGTTAACTAGAAGTTTGAGTCGCATTAAAACTACTTAAACCTGTTTGGAAGTGCTGTTGGCGTCTGCTAGCACGTGACTGGGTGTTTCATCACAGCCGCCGCTGCGTGAAACATGGAGGATCAGGCCCGAGCTCAGAGGAAACTGTCAACAGCAGGGCAGAGCTTGTACCAGGTGCTGGGCCTGGAGAAAGGAGCGACCCCCGACGAAATAAAAAGGGCCTACAGGTGGGTTTTACCTCCAGCGAAGAAATGGACAAAATTATTTACCAGACTAACTCATTAACTCTGTTTAAGGTGGGGTTGATCAACGCACACAGTTACTGGAAGTTTAACCAGTCCTCTAAACAAAGTTCCTGACAGGAAGGTCAGATAGGTTTAATAATAGTAGGGATGTGTATTGGTGAAATTATGGCGATATGATACGAATCACGATACAGGGGAGACGATACAAAATATCACGAGTATTGCGATAAATTCAATCAGATGATATTAGTGATTTTTTAGACTGAATTTACTGTAGGAAAATTCAATAAACAGTCCAAACTGATATAACATGTTTAAAGCCGGGTGTACACTGTGCGACTTTTTCACTCGTAGCACTCAGCTTCAGCTCAAACTGTACGACTTCCTCGCAGAGCAGATCTCACGAGCCAGGCGCTCACACTGTACGACCCAGTTCTTGGATGCAACCTGACTGCTCACACTGTACGTCTGGTAGCAACACGTCAGCCCTAAAAATATGCTAAAAATAGCAGTTTTTACACAACACGTTAGACTTTTTGGTCTTGTTTTGCCTGTTGTCCTTCGGGAGTGCTGCAGGGGAACACACAGCGATTTATGGGGGTTGGATGAGGAAAACGAAATAAAGAAAGTAAATCTGTGTTTTGTGATCAGTTTAATTTGACATGAACACGACAAACACGCTTTCTTGATAATCTCTGTGAGTAAAAAAAACGTGTAGAAATTAAAACGAACAATGTGTGTTATTAGGGAAATAGCGGGGAGCGGTGTTGATGCAGGATTGCGCATGCGCCGTGAGCCAGAGGTGGAAAGAGTACTAAAATTTCCTACTTAAGTACGAGTACCAATACTTTGATAATTTTTTACTCAATTACAAGTAAAAGTACTTGCCTAAATTTTTACTCAAGTAAAAGTTCAAAGTATCGTAAACAAAATGTACTCAAAGTAAAAGTTACTTAGTTACATTTTTGTCAGCGTAAGGATGGCTACATCTAAGTAGTGCTAAATCACAATGCCAGTTCACAATTCACTCGTGTGTGTGCGCGCACACACACACACACACACTCAAACACGCACAGCTTGAAGGAGGGATTTCTATCCAATCAGTGAGAACAGGACGTGCACATTGATTGGACGAGGTTTTTCTAGGATGGTAAGTTTCAATTGTGATTAAAATTATTCTTTATTTTGAGAAAAAATAATTTTTTAGATGCCATCAGCATGTGAGGTATCTCAATGCTCTCATGACAAAACTCTAACATGAGACTGTGCTCTAACCTGTCACATAACAAGCTAAATGAAGGTCAAACATTTCAAATGGACCGTATGACAGCTGCTACCGTTGGCCCTGCCCTACTTTACCTCTACATTACAGTTCCTTTATCCATGTCCATCCTAGAGCTCCTCTCTGACCTTCATGCTTATTTAGAGCAGCTGATTTTTAAAGTTAGAGTTCATCCTTGGTAGTGGGTTCACTCACTCATTTAACCCTTCACCACTGAAATCAGTTTGTTCATTCCAAACCTCCTAAATAATCCTCCAATCATCCAACTGGAATCCTTAGGTGTCCTGTAACGTCCATCCTGTCAGAACAGGCCTTGGGAGCCCAGGTGTTACTAGAACTAACGGTGTCTCCTCACCAGCGTGAGCATCCAAACTGTGAAGGTTGGTCTCCAAACATGAACTTTAAATTCATGCATTTATCTCCTCTTGTAAAACTTTAACATGTTTTAAAAGGCTTGTATCATGATAAGTTACACCTCTCAGACCAAAGATAAGATAAAACATTATCGTAGACACTATTATGACGTCATTATTTATGAAATATGAGTTATTTTCCTGAGCCATTACTGCAGCCAAGATATAAGATGCATGGATTTGATGAAACCACACTTTCTCATGCAGTTCTATATGTGTAGCACACACACACATGCACGCACATGCACACGCAAGCGCGCACGCACACATGCACACACTGCAGCATGTTAGAATCATGTGAATGACTAATTTAACTACACTGAACTGCTTTAGTAATAATTTAATCTCTTATTCTGGAGTAAAATAAAGAAACAAGCTAAATCATCACATATCTGTGGCATCAAGGAGCATATTCTGAGTTCAAACACAGGGATGGAGCACAATGTTTACACCTGAACAGAATCAGGATGTTTTAACTCACAGAGGCCTGCAGGTCTTCTGTTTTATGAGCAAAGCGCTGAGAATCCGCTTGTTATGAGCGCTAAACGTTATTTTGCCGCTTCCGTGCGGAGCGGTAGAGAAACACATTTCAAGCACGGAACCGAGTCCGGCTACCGAACCAAGCAGAATTCTGATGACGTAACACCGGTGCGCGAAGGTGCGGGTTCCAACCCACAGGAGAGGGAGGAGAGAGGAGGTAAACAGCGAGTTGATCGACTGAACTGATGTTTTTGAGCAGAAGTGTACACTCCCACGGTTTAGACGCAGCGCTCATGCAGGTGTCTATTTCCGTTCCGACGCTGCTACACGTAATATTTTTAATTTATTAAGCCTATAATTTATTTTTACTCAGTAACGGATATCATTTAAAATGTAGCGAATTACAATTCTTTTTTAAAAACTTACTCAAGTAAAAGTAAAAGCACAGCTTTTAAAAACGACTTAAAAAGTATAAATATACAAAAAAGCTACTCAATTACAGTAACGTGAGTAAATGTAATTCGTTACTTTCCACCTCTGCCGTGAGCGGTTCTGATACATTTTGGGTCGCAGCTGCTCGCAGTGCCGCTTCAACAGTGCGATACCCTCACGAGGGACGACCAAAATATTAAACACGCCAGAAGTCCGTGTGCGACCTCACGACTGCTGATCGGCAGCTGGTCACGTGGTGTTAATCGCCTCTCGTAACCCCCTGTACACTACACGACCGCTCGGTGCAAAACTCGCCCCGATGTCGTGGATTCTCGCACGACTGGAAAATCGGCTCAAAAAAGTGAAAAAGTCGCACCGTGTACGCCCGGCTTAACATGAGATCTCTAAACCATAATAGAGGGGTATACATTTCAATGGTGGTGGTGGGGGCACTGCTGCCACCTAGTGCAGGGTTTCTGCGGGGTATTAAAAAGCATTAAAAGTCATTAAATGAAGTTTTCTAAAATTAAGGCCTTAAATGGCATTAAAAAGCATTAAATTAGATTGTCAGTGGCATTAAATTTTTTCGAGAAATATTCTTAAATAATTTATTTTTTTTGTCTTTATTGTGATTTGTTGTGAAATTGTATGAAACGTATGTTTGAGTCAACACGCTGGCAGAACCATTTCGATTATTACTTCTGTTCTGACCGGTTTCTTGTTGAATTGTCGTAAAACCGGATGTTCGACAAGAAGCTGGATCATGAGGAGTAAACGTTTGGAAAATGGGGAAATGCAAATTCCAGCAAAAGTGGTTGGAAAACGATAAATTCAAGGTATGGCTGCAGCCCGTTAATGGTCAAGATGGAGAAGGATTTTGTACTGTTTGTAAAAAAAAAAAAAAAATTAAAGTTAAAGTTCCATTAGTTGTCACACACACTGATGTGTGTGCGAAATTTGTTCTCTGCATTTGACCCATCCCCTGGGGGAGCGGTGAGCTGCAGACACAGCCGCGCTCGGGAACCATTTGGTGGTTTAACCCCCCAATCCAACCCCTTAATGCTGAGTGTCAAGCAGGGAGGCATTGGGTCCCATTTTTTCAAAGTCTTTGGTATGACCCGACCAGGAATCGAACCCTAATCTCCCAGTCTCAGGACGAACACTCTACCACTAGGCCACTGAGCTGGTTGTATTAAACTTGGTACAATGGGTGTGAACGCTGTGAAATCGCACATGCAGTTGGACAACCACAAAGCAGCCGTAAAAGGCAGACAGCAGCTAACCGTGACTAGTTACTTTTCTGTAACTAGCAACGCGACGTCTTCTGCAACTACCACGACCACAACAAGCAGCACGACTGCAGCTGTGAACCCTGCCATCGGAACATCAAGCACGCTTCAAAAATTGTTTGGATCGCCTGCGGTGCTTCAGGCAGAGGTGCTCTGGTGTCTGAACACTGCCGTGCAGCACCACTCCTATGCATCCAATGAAGGTGTTTCCGAGTTGTTCCAGGCAATGTTTTCGGATTCTGAAATGGCTAAATCTTTCACCTGTGGAAAGGACAAGACAAGCTACGTTTTAAAGTTTGGACTCGCCCCACATATAAAAAAAGAACTGATTTCTGCAGCTACCAACGCTGGACCATTTGTTCTGATGTTTGATGAAAGCTTCATCCAGTCCACAAAAAATAAACAACTAGACGTCCATATTCGATTTTGGAAGGCTGGTGCTGTCCAGTCACGTTATCTTGGATCTCAGTTTATGGGACATTCAAAGGCTAAAGATTTGCTGCACCATTTCAAAGTGAGTATATTTGTACTTTTTGTTTATGAAGTGGTATTCCAATGAATTAAAGAGACAAGATGTGTTCATTTTGTTGAAGTTTTTTGCTTTTAGATAGTTTTAATAAGCTTATTTTGAAATTACTATAAGCAATTTTCAAATCTGAACTCGAGCGGTGTTTTGTTATTGGACTTCTGTGCAAGCCGCAGTTTGGCCATAACAAACACCATGTTCGAACATAAGGATGCCCACCGGTACACTTGGTACCAGGGCAGCCTAGGTCACAGGTCGATGATAGATTTTGTAGTCGTATCATCTGACATGCGGCCGTATGTTTTGGACACCCGAGTGAAGAGAGGGGCGGAGCTGTCAACTGATCACCACCTGGTGGTGAGTTGGATCAGATGGCAAGGGAACATGCCGCGTAGACCTGGCAGACCCAAACGCATAGTGAGGGTCTGCTGGGAACGCCTGGCAGAAGAACCTGTCAAGACGGTCTTCAACTCCCACCTCCGGCAGAGCTTTGACCACGTCCCGAGAGCAGTGGGGGACATTGAGTCCGAGTGGGCCTTGTTCCACTCTGCGATTGTCGA